CTATTCTGGGACCAGAAAAGGATGACCAGCATCTTCAGGGGGCTGGAGGCAATTCTTCTATAGAAAGGGTCACAATGCCTGCGGCTGTTTCTTTTGGAAACAGATGAATGAGCAGGGGGACAGTAGGAGGAGAGAGGCTCATTGAGCCGTTTGGTCTGGAGAAAAAGGACTTCTTCCAGTGTCAAAAAACAAAGCAGTGGGCACTGTTGCAGGGCTTCAGTGAGCGCATTCCTGATCCGCCCCTTATAGCCTGGAAGGGAAACAGCCAGCTTCCATTTTACACCTTGTAGGAAAAGTTCAAGGAGTACTTTCGGCGCCAGGTGAAGACCTTTTTATTTAAACGTCATTTTAATTGTTAACAATATTTACTTATTTATCTGGCCAGGGCGACTTCTTTTCTTTTATAACTTTTCTTTTATAACTTCTTTTATATCGTTTATATTTTTTATTTATTTTATATTATTAATTTTAATTTTATATTGTTATTTTTGTATTGTATTGTATTTTATTGTGTTGTAAGCTGCCCCGAGGCTTCGGCAAGGGGCGGCATAGAAATGTAATAATAATAATAATAATAATAATAATAATAATTTCCCATGTCCTACTTTCTAACCATACTGTTGTACTGGTTGGTATAATGACTAAATTGTAGCTAACTACTGCAACTTCCAAATGTTTTGTATCAGAATGGTGTTCACTTTAATTGCAAATGTAGATGCAAATGTGTTTGCTCATGTTTCTTTCCATATGTGGAGTGTTCCCTATTCTAAGATGTTTGTAACCAGAGCATGGTGGTGGTCTTAGTGCCACAGATGTTTAGACCTAAGCACCAGCAGTGGCTTGAAGGGATAAAATCTTTGCCAAAGTCGCAGGGGTAAATGTTAACTTAAACCTCTGACATCTTAAAAGTAGTGCTGCTGACAAAGTCTGTGCTTCACCCTTCATTCTTGCACACCTTTTTGCAAATATGGCATAATTTGAACACAAATTCGAGAACAAGTTATTCGTATGTCTCTACTGAGTTTATTGGAAGCGATAGTTAAAACAGCTTCTCGGGCCAAATGGAGTTGTGGGCTATAAATAGCCTTTTGCCTTGTCCATCTGGCTTGCAGATATATGGATGGCTCTTGTGCAGCCCGGAGAACTCCCCTACATGAAAGAGGTGTGCCTGCAAGCAGCTAGATGTATTCAGCTTGTGTCTGAGTCAGCGGATTTGTATAAAGTATAATACTGGACTGGATGCTGTGGATCGCTGAGAAAAGCCCTCTGTTTGGACATTAAGCTAACTGTGAACCTCGTTGTTCCCGTTCTTGTCTCTCTTCTGACTGGAATCCACAGAGTTTGTCTTCAGTATGCTTTCTGACTGCGCTGCCAGTATTACTTCAGAATAAAGCTTTAACAAGTCAGAATGTATTCTTTAAATCTTGATTTAAAAATTACACACAAAGAAGTACTATTTCTGGTTGCTCTAACAGAGGAGCCACTGTGCGGGAGTGGTTAAGAGAGTTGGACACACGCATGTGATCGGGGTTTCGCATCCCGCTTGGTCACGACACTCACTGGGTGGCTTTGGACCAGTTGTGGACCCTCAGCCTGACCCTCCTCAGTGGGTGGTGGCTGTGAGGATCAAATGGGGAGGAGGAGGACCTTGTGAACAGCCCTGGGTTCCTTCCAAGCAGAAGAAAGGAGGGATATAAACGTGATTTAATGGTGATAATATGGCATTGGAGGAGCTTTACCTTGTATGGTCCTTGCAAGACTCAGCAGGGTACAGAGCAGGGCTCCTTCCAGTTTGCGGTCCTCCAAATTAGGTTGCACTCCAGCTCCCGTGAATCCCAGCCAGCATGACCAATGATTCGGGTTGATAGGAGTTGTAGTCCAGCAACATCTGGAGTGCCCCACCTTGGAATAGAAGATGCGGCATTTGGTAGCATTGGCATCGCTCCTTTCTGGTTACCTCAAGAGTTCCTTGCTAACTTCTGGCGAACAAAATCCAGCCAAACCAGCAGTGTTTCTCTATTGTAGTAGTTCGGAGCCGAGTGTGGATCCTTGAATAACCAGAAGCGCACCATCCACACGAAAGCAGGAGGTGTCAGCAGACTTGGGAAGGCACAAGTACCAAATCTTCAGGCAAGGCCCACACAGGAAGGTCTCTCCCAGAGCAGCCCAGTGAGAACTGGACGTGCTTGGCGGCTGCTGTGCGTTGAGCGATGTGGTGTGAGGAGATGAGAAAATCACGTGGGCGAGGAAATGCGGTGGAGTGGGACCCGCTGTCATGACAGAGGGGACGCGCCATATAGCAGCACGCTGCCGTGGGCCATCCGTGTGTTATCGCTGTGGCGCTCTTTGTGAAATAGAGTTGCGTTTTCCTTGGACTGATCTCATCGTAGTTCCGAGGCAGCTCCAGTCTGGTCCCCTTGCACTGAAATGGGTTTGCTTGTGGCCGCACGAGGACTCCATGGCCCTCCCCTTCTGTGCCTTCCGGACGATGTGACTGTCAGGTAACTGCACCGACCAGGTGGCCTCGCTCAAGAATGATCGTGAGACTCTGCTGTCCTCACGGAACGCTTTCGAAATGTCGCAGTGGCACCATGTTATGCCTCTGGTGTGGCAGACTGGAAGATCGGCCAACACTCAGGTTGTTACGGGCGTGGCAACTCACTCCTTAACAGAACAGTGGTCCTGCCCTCCCCTGATTTTAGTCGTTAGGATCAAAATTTCCAACCTGAGGCCTGCGGCCCAGTAGAATAGCTCTTTTGATAGGAGTGTGTCGAATCAGCGTTCTCAGTAAGATGCGTTCTGCAGTTGCAGCCCGAGTTGGAGCCGGCTCTCCTGGTTACGGCAGGGGGAAACGGGCAGGCTGCTGGCTCACTCTGGCCTTCTCAGTACGGTGGAAATGCTTCCTGAGTCACTGCAAGAAGTGCTTTGGGGCTGAACGCTTCTCGAATGTGAATCAGTTGGGCCAAAGAGGAAGAGGAATTCTGGGGTTTATCTTCAGGTCAGTGCCTTGGAGTTTGATGGAACAAAAAGGTATTTTTGAAACATCATGCAGAAGGTGGAGGAACAGCCAAAAATGCCTCCAGTGCTAACTAGCATGACAAATGGATTACACACAGTAGCGGCATCCGTTGCTTCACATGACACATCTGCCTCTAAGCCCAGAGCTTGTTGTATCCTGTTTGTATCCAGAAAGTCCTCATTGTTTAAAAAGACGCTCCTCTCCATTAGCACAGTTTAGCTTTTGTGGCCTGGCATACCACTCCGAGGTCCAGATCTTAAGTCAGTTTTTTTTGGGGTCAACTTCTGGTGCAGGGGTGTGCTTGTGGAATTCGGATATTCCAAAATGCTTTTGAAAATAGTGCCCTGTCTTGCATATAGTGGGATGTGCGTTCCTCCTTTCCTTCCAGTGATTTTCATTGCTGATTTTAAAAATTGCATGCAGTGCATTACACCGCACATTAAAATGTGCTGTGCTGCTGCAGGGTTTTCTCCAGGTAAGCCCAAACAGTCGGTTTGCACAGCCTAGAGCAGCCCCCTCCTCTGCTTGGCACCATTCTCAGCCGGCAAGGCCAGTGACTGGAAATCGACCAACCTCTGTGGGTCGGCTATTTCTTAGAAGCATTTTTATGCCACCTTTGTGCCAAGAAGGCTCCCTGAGTGCCTTACCTGCAATGCAATGAACAAGGCTTGTCCCTGCTTGTGGGATCGTGCTGCTAAAAGGAGATGACACACCAGGAAAGAGGAAAGGGGAGGGAAGAGGGGGAGCTTTTCTCCCTCTGCACGGCTGATGGAATGGCCCTGGTCTCCCTTTTACCTTCCTCAGCTCAGCCTGGTGGCCTGGAATGATGGAGTTGCCATCCAGCACATGCCGAGAAACCCAGCTTGGGCGGCGGCGGGGGGGGGGGGGCTGGGATAGCGTGCACCGCCTCCATAGCCAGTGCGCAGCGCACTCAAGTGGAGCACTCGAAGTAGTGGGAAGCCCCGGGCCTCCCTGATGCTGCCAATCCGCTCGGAAGCTAAGCGGGGTCGAGCTCGGTGAGACTCTGGGTGGGAGACTTGAGCATTGAGTGGGGGGCGGCTTGGACCCAGTGGCCTTCTGCGTATATGATTCTGTGAGTGTCTGCATAACTTCTGGAAGATCAGATTCACGATGTCCTGACATTAGGTTCTGATAGCAATGCCCTTCCCCAGCTGCTGCTGCTCCCCCCCCCCCCCCAATAAATTCCTCAAAACAACCTGGTTTTGATCTGTAGAAGTGAAGCTTCCCCTTATCTGGCGTGCTCTTTGTTGTGCAAAGAATCCGCTCACATACTTGGATACCAGGCTGGACTGGCTGGACTCTCACTTCTCTGTTTGCTGACAAGAGCCTTCCATTTTCTGGGCACATTTGACAGGCTGTGCAGAGAGTCTGGGCAGGAGAGGGGCTGCCGAGGGAGTGGCGCGCTCCTCTCCTGCGGGCCCCGGCCGTCACGTGCCCTGCACACGTACAGCCAGATCTCGGATTTGGTCACCTGGACCTCCAGCATTGCGGCCTTTGCGCTATCCCTTCCGAAGAGCTCTGGCAGTCGCTGAGCCGGGAACGTGGCGACTGGCGTGATTGCTAGTGAGCAGCCTCCACATGTGGCGTAATCTGGACGTTTCGGTGGTAGAGAACTTGGGTAAGGAGTAAGATGATAGCCAGCACCGGGGTTGGGATAGTGGTCTGAGGCGCCGTGGTGGCAAAGAGCTGCCCCGCCACAGAAGCCCCACCTCCACTGCACGCGGCTTCCACGTCTCCTGATACTTGTGTGTAGCTCTGACTGTGGTGTGCAGACCCTTGCTCTTGTGCCAGCTGTCGTGTGTGTTGAACGCAGGCAGCGGAGTAGATGAAGGGGTCGTGTTGCCTTCTTGTGGCATATACGGGAACCTGCATGAATATCTACAGATTAATTTGACCGGAGGAAAAGTGGCAGAAGTATCTGGAGAAGTTCACTAATTCTGTTTTCAAAAATGTCTTGCAGGTTCTAAATGGCTTCTAGGAAGTCGGGGTCTGACTTTCATGGTAAGTGAAATGCAAATCTTACGTTCTGCGTTTCTTCGAAGGGAGATGCTCCACCGACTCTTATTAGAGGAATTGTTTTGTACCAGGATTTCATTCATGGAAACAGTTGGCTCTTCTGCATTGAAGCACTTACATGCCCCTTCTGAGATGTACATGGTTGCAAAGCAGTTTACAAAATGATGAAAATAAGAGGATATCAGGAAAGATTTATTCCAGAATACAGTGGCACCAGACATACAATTAAAAGCCAAATAGCCCCATCCGTCATTATGACACTTGCTGAATTCCTGAATCATTTTTCACCTGGTATTGTAAAGACAATGGCAGATGATGCTTGGCGTGTGAGCTGCTCCGGGGAGTCAGTCCCAGGGCAAAACATCTGTTTTGGTCGGGCCTGTAACTTGCAATGAGGTGAGGCAGCATCTCTGTCCACAGAACATTAAAAATGGCTCAGAGACATTCACTTTGCCCGGTGACCTGGCAGTAATGAGCTCAGTCTGGCTAGGGCAGCCCTCGCGAGCCGGTTGCTTATCTTAGGAAGTGGCCTGAGCTGATGGGGAGAGAATGCCCCTGGTTGGCAGGCAGTGGCCCTTGTCCAGGAGGTGCAGCTGAAAACATGCCAGCAGCTGAGGTTGGTGCAGGGAGATTGCGGGGAACGCATAATTAGCTACTGCGTGCGGGTCCTGTCTGTCTGAGCAGTGCCTGCGTTTTCTGAAGTCGAAACATAGAAGAGTCGAGTTGGAAGGGGCCTTCGGCTCCAATCCCCCTGCTCAGAGCAGGACTATGAGCTAAGCTGCCCCTCTCAGATGGCAGTCCAGCTGCCTCTTGGATGATATAATCGATCTCATAATTGTATTTCCCCCCTGGTAAGTCCCATTAAAAATGTCATCACAAAATGACATTAACTTGGAGGTTTGCCCTGCATGCAGCCCCAGGCAGTTCGAGCCTCATCGCTGCCCTGGTCATGTAATGTTGTTGTGGCAATCAGAACGCTTCAGCGGTGGTTGTTGAGGGAAATACTTTGCCTTCATCAGTGCAAAACAAATGGCTTGGACTGTTGTTGAAAAAGCACGGGGGATGGGAGCACACACCCCTTTTCTCCCCAGGCACAAGTCTTTGTTGACCCCTTGCTGAATACAGGATTTAAGTAAGGTTCGCTTTTTGCCCCCTTTCTGCTCCCGGCAGCTTTACTTCCAGCTACTTGAAATCCTTATTGGTGGTGGGGATTGAGCCTGGGCTTGTGTGCCTGCAGAGCTGTGCTCTGCCACCACTGAGCTGTGCGGGAGCCGGCCCCAGAGCAGCGGGTCCCTGTGGCAGCTGCCTTCTAGTGCACAAGGCATGCAGCTGTGGGAGAGAGCAAAGCGCGCGCTTGCGCTTGTGGCAGCGGAAGCAGCCTCGCACCTCTGCCCTGGGAATTCCCTCCTTGATGATGCATCAGCACTCAGACACTTGACTGTGTATTTCCAGGCTGTGACTCGGAGTGTTTGTCTCCCGTGTAGATCAAAGGGGATCGTAATATAGAAGAGGAATAATATATAAGACTTCAGTCTGAGAGCACAATATTAGACAGTGTTGCTGGAAAAAGGGGGCAGGGATGCATGGCAGTGGAGCAGGTGAATTTAGGAGTTCAGTTTCCAGCAGGAGAAGCTTTGTGTGCGCGCTCACAGGCCGTCTGGGCAGCCGGTAGGGTAAAATCCAAGGCAGTGGGACATTTCCCTCCCTCCCTCCGTGTTCGTTATGCCTTAGTACAAGGCATGGCGGGCGGGGGGGGGGGGACGGGGAGTGGTGTGCTTAGGGAGAGTTGGCAGGGTGGAGCCAGAGGGAGCCGCCCTCTGGCCTTGTGCATGTCCCCAGCGTGTGCCCCCATGAGCTGCACCGGCTCTGGTGCTTCCCAAAGAGGAAGCTCTTTTCTTCGCTTCCTGTCAGCCCCTTCCCCTTGCCTGTGCTGTGCAAGATCGTAAGGATGTAGCGAGAAGAGGCTTGCTGACGGCAGCTACCACAAATGGGGACCGATCCTGAGTGGGGCAGCGGATCAGCAGCAGGGTGTGCCTGCTCATCTGTTGCTCTGCTTTTGCTTTGGTAGAAGTCTGAAGTGACTCCGTGGAGTTCGCAGGCAGTCTCCCACCCGGAAGATACCTGCTCAGCTTGAGTAACAGCGGTACATGACTTCAGAATATTTCCTTCGAACATAAAAAGGAACTTGAATTGCAACTAAAGCAGCAATATGTGGGTTCTATCAGTTTTAGGAATGAACAGGAAGAGGCTTTCATTAAAGAAAAAACAATGACTGAGCAGCCTGGAATGCAGGTGTGCCCAGCAGAGCCTCTGAAATGCCCGTGAAGCTAGTTGGAGGACTCCCTTTTAATAACCAAAACAGAAGCCCTGGACCAGGTGGTGCACAACAGATTACTTCATGCTTGCCTGGAATAGTCGGGAGGCGGGAGTGGGGGCGGGGGGTAAGCAGGTGCCACTGACCGAAAGGAGCCAGATATGTCTGCCCTCTTGATTTGCGGCTCAGCGCTGCTGGGCACAAGCAGAGGCCGTTGCCCACCGGGGAAGTGAATGTTCCTAAGCTCCTCTACCGTGGCAGCTTCCGCCATCTGCCGTGCTCACCAGAGTAGCTCTGTTTGCACTGGTGTGCGCCCATGAGGTGGCACAAGTCAAACCCTTGGGGGTTCTCTTGAGAAGAAACCGCGGCCCTGGTTTGCATGCAGTTTGCTCCGGAATGCCTTGGCTTTGTTTCATGTTTGCTCAAGATTTGGTCTAGGCTAGCAAAATGCTGACCTGTGTAAATGGAGTCGCTGCTTCATTCCCTCTCGTTAGGGCTCTTCAGTTACCTTGATGACGTTCCGTTCAAGATAGGAGACAAGTTCAAAGCACCAGCGAAAGTTGGCCTGCCCATTGGTTTCTCCTTGCCCGACTCTCCGCAGCTTGTGAGGGAAGCCCAGGTGAGTCTTTCGCTGTTCTGTGCAGGCCTGAGCGGGGTGAGTTGGTGCTGCGTTGACTCTCTCTGGTTCCCTTAAAACGGACCCGCTGTACTTGGGCAGCACCTGTGCTGATTCTTCCACAGCGCACCTTGAAGCCAAACAACCCAGAGGGTGGCAATAGCAAAATGCCTTTCCCTGTAAAATCTGCCAAAGGGAAATTGCTGGTCTGTTAAAGATAAGTAGCGCTTGTGAATGGGCACTTAGAGTAATTTCACATGTTTCCAAGATGCTCGTATCTCAGGGGAACTTGTGAAACTTGGAGGGCAGTTGGGGCACCTGTTCCCCCCCCCCCATAAAAAAACCTGAGCAACTTGCTGGTGGGGCGGGTGGGGGAACAGGGCTTCACAAGCAAGGGTGACTGCGGTCTTTGGAAGCATTCGGGAAGGCAACTCTGACAGCTACCAAATGCCGGCAGCGGGGGATTTCCTTGAAGTGCCCTCAGGTGGGGCATGGGCCGGAGGAGAGCGTGCCGGGTCTTGCAGGGAAGCTCCCCCTGCCCATGGGCGCGCCCGCCTAGTTGTGAAGGAAGGGGGCGATGCCTGCCTGCCCTTTTTGCAGTTTGAAAATGAGTGGATCCAAGGGAAAAAATACTGGGCAACGTCTCCAAGCTGCTGCTGGGGCACTTTGGACAGACTGCCAGTAGCTGGCGAGAGAGAGGCCAACTGCAGGGTGTTTTCCTCGTTTCTCTCTTGCTGCTGCTGTTGCTCGTGGAAGTGACATGAATCGAGTGACAGAAGTGCGGGGAAGCCTGCCGGCTGCTCTCAGGTGCCACTTGGGGCGCTTGTGGTACTGCTGCGGTGCTTTCCCAACAGCTCCTTGGCAAAAGCAGCAAGGGGGTTTGCAGCTCTGGCCAAGGGGCTTCCCTTGTGACTTCACCTTCACCCCGGTGAGCTTTCCTGCAAAGCATCCAGGCGATGCCAGTGCAACACACAACCCGTATTGCTGCATGTGCAAAGAGCCTGCATATCGGAGGCTCTTTGTTAAGCCCGCGGCTGGCAACTCTGCCCACTGCCCAGGAGAGAATGGACGAAAGACGAGGCATCCTTCTTGACGCACGTGGAGCGATGCACCCCCTGAACAGCGCGTCCCCCTTGCTTTGGAAAGGGTGCTGTTGCCGTCACGGTGCCTTTGTCCCTCACCTTGGTGTTTCTCCCACTCTCTTCCAGTATGACTTCTCCTTGGAAAAGAGGACTATTGAGTGGGCTGAGAACATCAAGCAAATCCAAGTTGCCCAGCAAGAGGCCGAACGGAAGGCTGAGGAGAACATGGCGAAGGCAAAGGCTGCCCTGGAGGAGGAGATGCAGGCGGGCTTCTCAGACAGCCATTGCCCAGGGCCTGCCATGCCCCCTCCCATTAACCCCATCCTTGCCGCTCTGCAACACAACTACATACTCAAGCCCACCCCGGCCAACAGCAGCACTCTGAAGCAAAAGGTCCTGAGCCCACCGCATGTAAAGGCCGACTTCAACCCGGCAGAGTTTGAGTGCGAAGAAGACCCCTTTGACAAACTGGAATTAAAAACGCTAGATGACAGAGAAGAACTGAAAAATATTCTGCAGATTCATGTTGGCACCACGGGGCCAATCGTTGCCCAGCTTCTAGACAATAGCTCGCCCAAAGTCACGGCCGAATCGGTGCTGCAAGACCAGGAGGTTTTGGCGTCCTTAGAGAGGGCAGCGTTGGACCTCAAGCCCCTCCACAAGCCGAATGGCCTGGTCGCTCTGCCCCAGCTGGGGGACTGCGAAAAGATGTCCCTGTCGCCCATGACATCCGTGAGCAATATCAAGTCTCTCTCGTTCCCAAAGCTTGACGCGGATGAAAGTGACTTCCAGACGGCGACCCTGGTGAGCACGCACCGCAGTGCGTCCTGCCTCCACAACGGAACTTCCCCCCGCTCCTTGCAGAGCAAAAGAGCCAGTGAACTGAACGGGCACCACGTGGGAGGGCTCTCCGGCCTCAGCGTGGACGGTGGCCCGGAGATGCCGGCACTGTCCGCCACGTCCAGACTGCCTTCCTTGCCCACCTCAGTAGCATGTACAGAAGAGGTTCCGGGGCTCACCACAGCCACGGAGGTAAGCCTCGCGTGAGCGGAGCATGGGACCCTTGAGAGTGGGGCGGGGGGGGGGGCAGGCTGTGCTGGGGAGGAAGGCATCGAATTTGGATGACTTCTTGCGTGAAAAGGGAGTGCCTTGCTGCCCTTCCGTTGATGCCTGAGTTCCTAAAGCTGTTCTTCCTTCCTGGGACTGGCCTGTTGTGCCAGATCTCGCAGGAACGCAGATGGCTCGATCACTCAGAAAACAGAAGCCGCAGCGGCCGCCCTGGCCTGCCTGCTGCACAGTTTCCCTTCTCACCTTCATGGTGCGCGGCCTCCCCTGTCAGGTCGGCTTTGGGGCTGCTTTAGAAACGATGGCTTCCTTCAGGCTTCCGGGTGGCTTTGCAGCAGCCCTCTGCCACACACCTCAGCACGTTCAGGGGACATGGGAAGCCACACCGCACAAAGGGGAACGGAACCGTGGGGTGCGTGAGTGGCACACGGAGGGGGAGGCGGGAATGGGACGAGACGCTGCCGTGGGTTCTGAACCTGGCCGATGAGGCGCTGTGGGGGGTGGCTGCCATTTGGAATATGCAGCGCCACTCCTGGGGTGGTCACGTCATGCAAGCCCAGTGAGCACAGAGTATGCGAGGCTTACACAAGCCTGCTACAGAGTCGTGTGAGGATTGTTTAACCCTCACATAGCTGGCACTCTCCCGTATTATGCAACATGAGAGCTCTCAAGAGGGTCTTGCTTCTGTGACAGGGCATCTGTGGGCGCTGTGGCGCCTGGTGGACCAAACAGCTTGTGCTGTGTTGAAGCGTTTAGCATGCAGCCCATGACTCAGGACCGCCACCACTGCTTGTCCTGCAAAGCATCCGCACTCCTGCAGTTCCGTGATGCTGGTTCCGCTTGGTAGTTTGCGGAACAGGCCGATGAGGAAATTGGGAGTGTTCCGTTTGAATAGGGCCCCGTGTGTGTTTGTACTGCATTTCTGTACCACTCGATAGCTGAAGCTGTCCAGGGGTTTGCAGGAACGTGAAACTAAACACTTGCTGTGGTGCCCCCCCCCCCCTGATATCACGTGAAGTGGAACTGAACAGCGGTGGTACCCTGAAAGGGGAATTGTGAGCGATTGGCCAGCAGGCTGAAACGTTGCAGTGTCGTGAGACCGGATTTCTCTGCGGAGATTATTCTAGTTCTTGGCCTGTGTGGATTAAGCGTAATCCTATTGCACATCCTGGAAGTTATTTTTACAAGGCCCTGCCCTGCCTTGAGTCTCTGAAACACAGGTTTCCGCCTAAATGGGCTTGAGCTTCTTTAACGCCTTTCCTTGTGACTGGAGTCTTGCCTTTCCTGAGAGCTCTCCTCTTGGCTTGCCTTTTCCCATTAGGCGATCCCTTCATGGGGAATCTGCTTTCCCCGCAGCCATGTATCTCTAGCATGCCTGACTGCATGTCTCACTGATCTTCCTGACGACTTGAGGTCCCCAAGTCTGATGTGCTCGGAATCCAGTGGTTGCCTTTAGGGAAAGCTTGAAATGAGGCAGCAACGTTGGAATGTCTTAACTGATCTCCAGAAACAGGTTCAGGTTTAATGCCCAGTGGTCTCGTGGTGCTTGCATGGTGGGCTTTCGTGAGTCGGTTTGCCTGGCTAGTGAATGGATCAGTTCTGTTCTAAACTAGGACATGAAACAGAGCTCGCCTTCCGCAGTGAGTGCTGCAGGCCACGGCGTTCAGGTCAGGTGGCTGGCCAAGAACCCTCGGCTGCTTCCATCACCATCCGAGCAAGATCCCGCTGCTCAGTCCTCTTCCGTTGCCTCGGGGCTGCAGCAGGAGGACGGGGAATGCTTCCCGGCCGCATCCGCAGCACTGGGCGCCATGCAGTTCTTCCTCTGGTTCTGGATCCGAGTGTTGTTTTTAGTTTGAAGCTCCTTTGCAGCTGGCTTCAAGAGCCCCTTGGGACAATAAGGCTGGGTATAACTATTCTAAATAAAACAGGTGACTGAAATCATGAAGGGGCAATCCTATACATCCATTTTTTTAAACAGAAATAAGTTCCACCATTCCCACAAAAAGCTGGCGGGTTGTAGGCCACATCGTGGTTGAAACGTGCCTGAGATTGCACCCTAAGAGGAGGCCAGTGTAAATTGCAAGGCCTCCTCTTAGGCGTTGAAATTGAAAGCCTGTTTCCTGCTTTCAGCATGCCGGTTTCAGCTGAATTGAAACTTAGAGTTACGTAAAGAGCTAGTTCAAAATCTTAGGTCATTCAGCCGGGTGCCTTTTATACTGCGGAACTCTGTGCTTATAAACAAGGCATGCCCGTTTATTTATGGCATTTATTAAATGTATCACTCATCCTCCTGCCACAACCAGTCTTTCACATAGCTCGCGGTATTAGCTAAAATAGAGCTAGAAACAATCATGATTAAAAGACAGAGACAAAAGCACAGCAGTGCGGAGAGAGCGCTAGCCTGCAGGCTGTTGCAGTCGCGCTCAGCAGCAAAGGGGTTCACAGGGAATAAGAGTATTTGCCTACTGTTGGCAGGACAGTATAAACAAGGAAACCGAGACAGCAGGCTGATGTTTCAATCCTGTGTACCTTCTTTAGAAAAGAGTCCTCCTGAATCAAGTTGAACTTACTTCTGATAAGCATGTATAAGGTTCATCCATACTGGGTATTCGGAGCTTGCTAGACGCAGAGTGGCAGTTACTGGGGGGGAAAAAGTCTCTCTGAGATGAAAATGAAATGCCTTAACTGTGTACGGTAGAATCGTGACTACGAATGTTATTCCATCTGTAAGCACACTGTGGAACTCAAGTAGCTGGGGAATAAAGATAGTTCAAGATCCTTCCTGAGGAGAGGAGAATGATTTCAAATGTGGTGGTGTGTTTAAGCGCATTTAATGTGGCAAGAAAAAGCCAGTAAATGAGGTTTTCCCTTGATACTTCTCCTATTTCCTCACTGACCATTAAATGATATTAATTGATTGCTGAGAACCAAATGCTGTGGCCCTGGAAGAGTGTCCTGGGGACCAGTGAATATTTTGGATTCCTCTTTATCTGGCCATAGAGGCCCCTACAACCCTAAAAGAGGAAATCTGACTTTCGGTTCCTCCCCTCCCCTCTCTCAGCCAGCGAGTGAGCTGGACAAGAGACCCCCCCTGCCACTTTCATTTGGGAGGAAGGGGAAGGACAGCAGGCCAACCCACCTCCCGCCTCCTCCTCCTCCTGTTTCACTCTGCCTTGACCCAACTCCATCTTCACGGAAAAGTAGCAAATCAAACTGAAATATACACGACTAAAGTACAATCTATTGATTATTGGGCAGCCTAGAAGTATTTGTTTTCATTGGGTGAACATGAAGCCCATTTGGTCCATTTATGAGCATAAATTCTCTTCATTTACGTGGAAAAGCCCCCGTGAGAGGGCAGCCCACATTCAGTGCGGCAAGCTCTGTCCGGGCCCCTGGAGAGCCCAGAGCCATGCTGGCACCGGGGAGAGGAAGAGGTGCTCACCTCCCTCATTCCCTCCCTGGCTGGGTTTGGATGACCCGGCCCCCGTGGGAACAGTGGCCGGGGGCCCCACAGACCCAGCACCACCTGGAGTGCTCTTGGAAGACTGCCTTCGCCGCATCCCAGCTCCCCTCTGTCCCGCTCTCCAGCTCTTGGATGGTGCGGTGGTGCCGGAGGTGGGCTGCTCGGGCCGGTCCGTGCCGGCAGTGGCACGAGGTGAGGCATCCTAAGGCTGGGCTGCTTTTCCCAGTCGCTCCCTCCGTCCCCAGCCGTCGGAGGGATCATCGACCGCACTATAAGCAACCCAGGGCACCTGGCTGTTGGGAGTGGGAAGGACACTTGCTCTTGGCACGCGGTCTCATGGTCTGCGGACTGGAAGTCAGAGGAGGAGGTGCAGCAGGGCCAGGCCTGGAATGTGGGCCGGTTCCAGATGTTGAGCTGAGGGAGGCGGAGGCGCTTGTCTCGAGGCCTGGCTCCCCAGGTGCTCCAGCAGCCTCCGAGCATAGCCAAGATGCTCCGTTATTGCAAGGGGCCCTGGAACAGGGGGGTTTCCCAGAGGCAGACAAGGCAGGTATGCCTTTGAGTCCCATGACACGATACTGGTGGGGCGGGGGGGGGGGGCGCTCATTTCCAAAAGGGTGGGGCCCAGACATACTCCAAAGGAGAGTTCCTAGGAGTAAATACTGGACTGGGTTCAACGAACCGCTCTTTGTGCTTCTGGAACATGCTTTGGTCAATAAAGAACATTTTGCAAGAAAGGTCGGTGGCTCTGAATGGGCAAAAGGAGGGAGCCCAGCTCATGAGATGGCACCAGTAAGAGCACTGCCAAGTGTGCCTGTCGGGCTACCATGCTTATTCCCAGATAATTTAACATCGACCTAATATTTAAGCAAAGCTGGGCATTTATGGTTTTAAGTTAAACAATCAGATTCATACATACATATGTGTGTAGTTAAATAATTTTTAATCCACTCTGTTCCATGGGGGCTCAGAGAAAGACCCTCGTAAGACTCGGGATGGTATTGCCCGGATTCTAGCACATGGCCCCCAATAGCAGGTATAACAGCAGTGCAAGGACAAGATCATTCACCTTGTTCTTACCCAGAAGAGCAGTCTGTCCTCAGCTGTAACAGACAAGGTTTGAACTAAGATTGCATTTTCATCCAGATTACTTTAAAAAAGAAAAAGCATAACTCAAACTTCTGTGCAGACATAAAAATCTGCCTTAGGTTTTCTTCCAAAACAAGCCTGTCCTTATGTACCCTGGCCTTGGCTTATGAAAGCCGGAAGTGGTGCCCTGCAGAAGGCTTCACAGAGAGAGCGCATCCCGGCACTGTGCCGTGTGCCTTTGGTGTGGTCTTCTCAGATGAATGGGGCGGGGGAGGCTGGGACTTGGGGAGGCTGCACAAGCAGGTGTCTCCCAGGTGAAGATGAGGCTTGACACCCCCCCCCCCACGTGCTCCAGGTCAAGCCCATGGCTGCTTGCTCGGACAGCTCTCGCCACGCACTAGCGTGGTCCCGGCTTCTGTAGGCAAGATGTGATCCCTGCAGACGATCCAAGCACTGCATCTCTCTGCCTTGTCTCCAGATTGGAACTTCCAATTAACTTGTCAGTTTTGTGTGGCAGGGTAGTCAGGGCTATGGCTCTCTTTATTTACAGTATTTCTGTGCTGTTCTACATCCAGACAGACTCTGTACTGGTGAACAGTGTGAGGGTAATACAAATAAAAGAAGCAGAGCAGTACATTAAAATGTTAAAAACAACATGTTAAGACCATGGCTGTTCAGCAGGAAAAAGCTCCCTGGAATAAGGTTGCCTTTAGTTGGCACCTGCCGAACTTCCTTCGAAACGGGGCTGCCACACTGAAGCGGCTTCTCCTGGGGGACCCACATCAGGCCATGGGGGAATGCTTAGCTCTTTCCTACCCTGGTACCTTTTGGGGGCGCTCAGCCTGCTCTTCCTTCAGAGAGCGACAGGTGGTCTCCGTGGGGTTGGCAGGTGGCTTCCAGGTGTTGGCCAGGCTCGGCTTGCTCAGCAGCACGGCCCTGGCTGCCTTCGGGTGGTCCTCGGGGGGGCTGTGCATGGCACCAGGGGCCTTGGCCTTTGCCTCTGGCTGTGCCTTGGGCCCTCAGTGCAGGGTGCCTGGCTCAAGTGTGCCCGTGCAGTGCGGACTCCTCTGCCCTGGCCGGCGAGGGAGAGCCGTTTGCCTTCTCGTCCTCTGAAAGCATCTCTCTTTTTTTACCAGGTAACTCACCAAAGTTTCCCAGCATCTCAAGTGCCCAACGCCACCAGCTGTGCAAAGCGGCCAAGCGGCTTCTCATACGTAGACGTGCTCCAGGGCCTTTCTTCCAGTGAGCGGCAGTGTATTGAAACTGTTGTTAACATGGGCTATTCCTACGAGGCTGTCCTGAAAGCGATGAAGAAGAAGGGGCAGAACATAGAACAGGTGAGAGGAGTCCTGCTGCTGCTCTATCAGGTCACGAGAAGGAGGTGTGTGCAAGTTGAAGGGCAGCACCTGGTACGGCAGAGCCCAAAATTGCTGATTGGGAGGAGTCACGGTGCTCCGACGGAGGAAGGGACCTGCTAGCCAGGAAGCATTTCCAAGAGTGTGGCCACATCCAGTCGGCATTTATGTCTGACAGTGGCTGCTGTTCTTCATGGCCATTCAGATGTCAAGCCACCTTCTCAGCTCCCAGGTTCAGTCCTGGCACTTCTGAACAAAACAGAATTTGGGATATCAGGGACTGGTAAAGAATTCTTACCAGCGTTGTGTTATAAGGAAGAGCAAATTCTACTGGGCTAGGCAGTGGCCTGACCTGGTGTAAGGTCATTTTATGCATTCACCCTCCCCTTTCTGCAAAAGGGGCACTGCGAGAGCGGTCTGTTCCTCAGATTAAGGTCAGGTTGTGCCTCGCCACCCCTCAGCAAGCTTTTTACATAGACCTGCCACCAAGGTCCAGGGGCACAGATTCCTGATAAACTTGGAAAGACTAGAAAGCCAGACAAGTTTTGTTGGAATTCAGCATGCAGAGGAAATGTCTGAGTCGATTTCTTTCCTGTTCCTCCTGCAGGTTCTTGACTACCTGTTTGTCCATGGGCAGCTCTGTGAGAAGGGCTTTGACCCACTCCTTGTAGAAGCTGCTCTTGAGATGTACCAGTGTTCAGAGGAGAAGGTGAGTGTTCAGTTGCGCAAGGCGGGGCTGCGGAATTCCTGCTGTGCTTAGCTCGGCGCTTCTTGATGTGCTTTTTCCTGGTCCTCAGCTACTGCAGTGATCTTTGAATCCTCTGGTTTGTCTTTTGAATACCAGGAGCGTTCTGGTTACTCTTTCGTTGCGATCTGTCTTCAGCTGTCCTTGCCTCTGTTGGGCCAAGGTGGATCTGGCCATGACGACACGTGCCTTAGTTACTTCAAGATTGGACTGCTGTAATGCATGTCACATGGAGCTCCCTTTGAAAAGAATCTGGAAACTTACAGCTACATGAAATTAGCATGAAATTGAGTTGGCCTTTCAGTTCAGAGGAGACCTCTGTTGATTTGATATGTTTCAGGCCCCGTGCTGGTGCTAACCTTTATAACTCTAAACCGGTTGGGAGCAGAAATTCTAAGAAAGATTGCCTCCCCTTATGTGCGCTTGCCAGATCCCTGAAGGTCATTTGGCGAAGGCATCTGTGTGTCCCACCTCTTTCAGACATAAAGCTAGCAGGAACACAGGGAGGGCATGTCCATTTCCCTTCCCCTGGATATCTGTCAGATCTCCACCATGTTCTCTGTTTGCTGCTATGGAAGATTTGTTTAGCATGGCATCACACCTCTGTTACCGCTAACAGAGTCTTTCTTTTCTGCTTACCTATGTTCTTTTATTGTTGCGTTCTTATGAGTCGATTTCTCGTACAAGTGTTTTTTCATTGCTTTCATTGGCTGCCTCAAGCACCTTGTGCAAAAGGGCAGGATACCAGATCTTTTACCTGCTTGTCCTGACACCTGTCATGTCAGGCTCTGCGCCCTTCATGGCTGCTCCTCCATGGAAGACGTCCGTTTTGCCAATCCAGAGAGGCTCAGTAGACCTAAGGTACCTGTCTTCCAAGCGTTCCTAATGGTGCCCTCTGCCTTTTTTTCCTTCTCAGACAACGGAACTTCTCCAGCTAATGAGTAAATTTAAAGAAATGGGATTTGAACTGACAGACATTAAAGAGGTATTATTATTACACAACAATGACCAGGACAATGCACTGGAAGATCTAATGACCCGGGCAGGAGCCAGTTGAAGAGTGCTGAGAGGAGAGCGCATCTTGCCTAGGCAGCCAGACCCTTGCCATCATCGCGCGGCGCTCTCTGCAGCAGTGGGAAGGAGAACACCCCGCTCCTGAGCGCTCCGCTTTCCCAGAGTGCCGACAAAGCTGGGAGAGTTGCTTCATTGGCCATGTATCACTCCAGAATGCCGTTCCCACCGGAGAGGGCCCAGTTTGCTTTCTTCAATTAAACTTAAGTGCCCTTTCCTATTCCCCCCCCCCCTTATTTTCCTTTCTTTTTCCCTCTTTGTGGCTAGTCCATGGGATCTTGACTGGAGGTGTACATAGTCAGGCCAGGCCAGCTGCATCCTCCTTCCCTTCCCCAAACTCTTGCACTGCACTGTCGAAGAAGCACCTGCCTGGCTCGGAAATGAATGATGCTTTGGTTCCTTGGAGCGGCTTTCATTTGTGTGTCTGCTTGTACTGAAACATTGACTCTTAGTCAAGATTAACAGAAGTCTACCTTTTAGTGCAATGAAATTTCAGTTTTCAGTGGAGGTGAGGGAGTCTTTGGTTGAAGGTTAGCTTGTAAGTTAGTGCAACACTGGTTCTGAAACGGCCGCTATGCATACTGAAAAGCTGTACTACTTTTTCTGGTGTCTTGGCCCCAGCTGCGTCCTCTTGCCAGTGTTAAGTAGGTAAAAACCGAATTCTTGGAGCAGGCACAGGTAAGCTGTGAACCCTACTTGGGCCTCTCACCGGTTTCCAACACGCGGGCACCTTGCCACCCCCAGACTGAGGAAGCAGCTGACTGTCAGTCTAAAGTACAGTGTGAATTTGGAAGTCTTCTCTTTCATGCACTTTCTTTTTGATATTCACTGCGTTGGTTCCATTTTTTCACACTGCTATAGTTGCATTAATCTATTAACATCTAGTAATAGGAAACAGACTTTCAGTTTGGTTTTGATAGTAAAAAGGTGTATTATGTTGTATATGGTTGAAGATCTAAATACATAAAAATATAATAAGCACTCTTGATGATCTTTCAAGTAATTTGCTAAGTATTTTGGTTCTGCGGGAAGAGATCCTAATAAAACCTTAAAAATGTGGCTTCTGGTGTTATGGTCTGGACCTTTTGTGTGGAAAACAGATTCTTGCATTTGCAAGGGTTAACTGCTAATCAAGTCCATCATGTCCGAAGAATCTTTTGTGACATTCCGAAGCGTGCAGGCTTGCGGGAAAATTGTAACTCTCCCTTTAGCACGTTGGGCATCCTGCTGTGGCATCTTCCCATGTCTGTACCGGACTCGGTAAGCTCAGCAAAAGCAGCTCACCTCCTCTGGGCCTTGGGGACAAGCTGATGTGATTTGGCCGCAAAGGTTTTTCAGTATCTGGCTTGCCTGGATCTGCAAAAGCAGCAGCAGCTTCTACAAGAACACTAGTTCCCATAGCCTTCGCCCTAAGCGAAAGGATCATGGAAACAGCAACAGTGTTGATCACTGGAGTTCATAATTCAGTACAGAAATATGCTGAACTATGACCCAAGATAAGTGGCGTGGTCTGGCAGAAGCTACACAATAGCTTGGAAGTGGCTTAGCGATTTGTATGTTGGGGTGGCGTTAGCATTTATTAAGCCGCTTCAAGAACTAAACTTCGTATATGAACCCTTCTCTACATTATTTTTTTGCTAATGCTGAAGCACCGTTAAGAGCAGAGTCCTTAGATTGTGCTTACATTTTTTCCCCTGAGATACCAGTGGTCTTGATCTGTTACTAAAATCACCCCTGCCACTTCCTTCCTATCGAGGGCAGCTTGTCTGGTGGTTGGATTCCATCCAGCAGCTCAGAGGCACTTGATAACCACGTGAGCACCTCAGAGGCAAGGGGGCAGCCCCACAGAATCCGAGCAGCGGGGTGTCGGAGGGAAAGCAGCAGATCCAGATGGCAGAAGCAGTCACTGTACCCGTGATCTTCCTGTATGTGAGAACAAGGCCGAAGCCATGGGACGATTCCACAGCCACAAAAAGTGTTGCAATACTTCCAGCCAGTGTGGTGCAGTGGTTAGAGCACGGGACTGGGACTCGGGGGATCCGGGTTCAAGTCCCCACTCGGCCATGGAGCCAACAGGGTGACTTTGGGCCCGTCACAGGCTCTCAGCCCAACCTACCTCACAGGGTGGTTGTTGTGGGGATCAGATGGGGGAGGAGAATGATGCAAGCCGCCTTGAGCCCTTTGAGGAAAAAGGCAGGATATAAATCGAATAAATAAATAAATGGGCGGAATGGAGAGAAGTGTTTGCCACAGCTGTGTGCGCACTGGCAAAGAGGCTGCCCAAGGGGCAGTGCCTCTGGACTCGCAGGAGCTGATCAGGGTTCCATGGTGCCGTCCGCCTCCTGTGTGAATTTCTGCAGCTGGGGCAGCCCCGGATGGCTATGCGCATCGGCATGGCGGTTCTTGACCTCCTGCTGCCTCTCCCCCTCCCTCCCTCCTTCCCTCCCTATTCATCAAACTTGGGTTGCATTTGATCTGGACACTTAATTCGACACAAGACTGCTGCACATTTTTAATAGAAGTAAAATAATCTCAACAAATTCAGTATAAAAGTGGCATGCATCTTAAAGTCATTCCCACTGAATTCATGTTAATTTACAGAAGTTTGCATAGCTACTTGGGCCAAACACCCCTCCTCAAAAGCGGAACTCGCAGGAGCATTTTCGCTTATTATTGCCTCCCCAGCTTCTCCGCCATTTTCCTCATTAAGAGGAATGGCTTCCCTGCAGGGTTTGTAGATTATCTTGTCCATCCAGTCCTTACAAGGTGGAGACACATTCCAAGTGCAGGAGTTCCTCTTTCAAGGGGAGCCTGGCCGATGAGCTCTTGCTGCTTGGGATGCGTCACGGCTATGATGCGTGCCTGTCCCGCAGAAAGGATGATGGCGGCATGAGTCTTGCATTGCTCGGCCAGGTCACAAGGGCGAAGCGAGAGCAAGGGGTGCGCGAGGCAGGATTCCTGCTCGGTGAGTTTAGCCTGTGGCCACTGCTGCCACGTGGGTGCTGAGGGCGTTTGTCTGTGGAGAAGGGACCGGGTGGGATTTGGAGGGGTGGAAAAGGGGGGCTTCTCTCTTCAGGGAAACTGCCTAATTATGTCTCCGTAGTAGAAACCAAGATTAGACTGGCTCCTTCCACGAGTACAAAGCTGACCCTGCTTCCGAAATATTAATTCCTGAATGTACTCTTCCCGAGGCATGTGTGCCCCCCCCCCCCCCCCGCCATCCAGGAAGTGCCTGGCCGAAAAGGAGGCCCCGCTGCTGGATTGTAGTCACTCCCCGTGCCTCTCATCATGTCCCACATGCAGGGCCCGGGAGCCCCTTTCTCCAGTCCGCTGTCTGTCCGTCCGCCCGCCCGCCCGGCTGCTGCACAAAGGCCTGGCCTTCCTCCTTGCAAACAGCAGCATGAACCCGGTGCTGAGCGCTGCTTGTGGAAGGCAGCTTCCTCAAGCCGCATGCAGAATTGCTCTGGCACCTCAAGGAAGCGGCTTGTTTCTGCCAAACTTCCCACCGAGGAATCCTGCCTCCTGAAGTGAAGCCACAGGGTGGGCAAATCCAGGACATGTAAAGGCTTCCGAAAGTAACCCCCCCCCCCCGCCCCCAGCTTCCTGCTTCATAGCTCGTGCCCACTGATCCAGCCTGGTGCCTGCCAGATGTGCTACCGTGCAAATCCCGGTGTTTCTAGCCACCACTGGTCACACTGGCTGGGGAATGATGGTAGTTGTAGTCCAACATGCATATTGTACACACTGTGACCTTCAAGAAACCTGCACACTGAAACTCAGTGTAGGAGCCTTTGAGCCACAACCATGGATAGTCAAGGCACGAATGCAAAATGTGTGGAAAATGCTGCGGCAGGGAGCATCCCTGTGGAAATCCCTGTGGAAAGAGTCCTCTCTCCAGAAAGCAGTCCCAGTGGCTCACTTTCGTCCTCCTGGAAGCCTAGCTGCGCAAGGGACTGTTCCACTGGTGGCAGCTGGCGCCTCTCCTTTTCCAAAGCGTGTTACCTGGAAGCAGGGCTTGCGCTGGCTTGGGGACTGTCTGTGCTTTGCAGGACCAAGAATTGCCACTGGAAAGGTGCCAGGATGCTCCCAATTGCTGTGGCCACTGCGAGTGGGAATTTGGGGGAGCACAGGAATGCCAAAATCCCTCGGTTTCCTGCCCATTAGCCAGGTTTCTTCTTGATCTGGAGTTCACCCCTTAAATATTTTCCTAAGACGTACCAAGGATAAGACCCAAACTGCCCAACGTCTTGCTGGCTGAAGTGGCTGATCCAGAAAGGCCGCGGCCTCCAACGGCCTGCCTTGCCGCGGCCTCCTGGCTATGTCAGGGACGCTGTCAGCAGTGCTGCCCCGCTCGAAGCAGCTGCTAGGAAGGGCTGCAGCTGGCTTTGCATCTTTTGAATGCATTTGGATTTCAGCATCAGTATCGTGTCCAGCTGCATCACAAAGTCCTTGAAGTCCTAAAAGCGGAAACCAAGGGAAGATGGGTGGTGAGGAATAAACATTCTACAGGGGAGCGCTATTTGATGGGCAAGTGGGGGACAGACCGTGGAGGAGCCACAGAGTTCGTAAACTGGCCCTCAGGTCGTTTGTCAGTTTCACAAATCAGGAATGTAAGTGGAGAAAATAACTTTTCCCAATTAAACATCTGATTTGTGGCTGAATATGGAATTACAGGACTCTTACATTGAAACCGTTTCATGCTCTGGATTTCTTAGGGAATTGCGTGCTTGGAAGGACATCCAAATGAACAGTCATCCTTTTAGGGTGGAGCCCTTGGGTTGCACCCTTGAGCTCAGACATTTACACACTGTCCAGCCAGGAAGCGGGGAGCCTCAGCCTCCCTGCTCCTTCCATCCTACAATTTCACTGGGCAGCTATTTTCTGCCATCTGGCTGAAGAATTTCGAAGGAAGGAAACCACAGAGGACATGGGATATGTGGCACCCCAGCCCCTGCAATCCCCTCCCCTCCCTGGCCCCTTGGAAGGCACCCTTTACCTCCTCTGAGGCCCAGTTCCTAATTTCAGAGGGGCAGGTGGGAGAGTTTGCTCTGGCCAGCAGCTGTGGCTGCAAGGTCAGAACTCTGTTTCGGAGCTGGGCTTCCCCAGCGTCCTCTGGCCTCCGCAGAAGGTGACCAGGGACCATAGGCCCGCTCTCTTAGTCACTTTGCCCAACAAAACCAATGGGCCTAACCACATACTCTGCACTAGAGTCCGGCTGCTGCATCAAACCGAACACCTGGGTATGCTGTTCGCGGAAGCTCTGTGCTCAAGAAATCATTCTGATGGTTTTCGTTTCCAATTTTTCTTCTAAAGGAGGCCACATGAATTTTCCATTCTAACATTGTATTTTACCTTCTACATCATTCCAAATGGTTCCAAAATTACACCTCAAGAGGAAATAACAGAGTCAGCTGTCGCAGAATTACAGCTTATACAGAACTGGAGCCAGGATGGAAGCCTAAAATAAGCCAGTGCAGTAAGGCCCAAACAATCCAGGTTTTACATTTAGGGGAAATTCATTTCTCCTCATTTAGTTGATGTGTATCTTTTCTTTGTGTTGCTGTTGAATGTGTAGTAAGCTGATGGATGCTGCTAGAGAGAATTGGAGTACAGAAGGCCCGGGAGCACCTTCTTTCCTCTGATGTGTCCAAAGTCTTGTCCAAAAGCTAATCCTACACCTGAACTGGCTGGGCAAATAGATTCAGGATCTCTTCTGCCTTCTTAGAGAAGCTGGGGCGCTCACAGTTTGGACATCTGTGGCCGATAACACATTCTGCAGCTTTCCCCTGTGTGTCCTGGTGTCGATTGCAAGAAATTCACAGATGAATTACAATAATGAGCATTTTCATATAATTAAGGCACTGAGTACTGGAAGTGAGAACGGAAAAATTGTCTTGGAACTTGTCATGTCAAATGACTGCCCTGAAAAATGACAAAGAGGGAGTCGAGGCTGGTTTACCGGCACTAGACTTCCCCGCATTTGGGATTTTGGATTTCCAGTCACGTGCAAACGCTATCCTGCAACCCGCAGAGATGAGCACTTGAATTTTAATTGACTTCTTCTATCAAGGAGCAGTGCAGTCGTGGGCATACAATGAAGGTATCCGTAATACTCAGCCGCAGAGTTACAGGCTATGGCAGGATGGCGGGCACACACGCAGAGGCTCCTTGCCCCAAGCAGCTGTGCCGCCAAAGGACAACTTGGGCCGAGCGGGACCAGCCCTGCCACAGCACTGCCAACGGCTTGCCCTTCCAGGCTGGCTTCCACCGCTGTGTGGAGCAGCTTGGCCCCTGGGAGAGTCAACACTGTGCATCTGGTTCTATTTGGAAGGAATTTCCTCTGTGTGCCCAGAATTCCCTGTCCACAATTTACAAGTTCTGCGGTCTCAACAGTAACTGTCGGTCCATGCAGGAAAGACTCGGCGCCAGGGACCTGGAAGGAGGTGCCTGGTGGAAACACTCACCAGGGCTGACATCTTGCGGATCAAACTCTCCTCCTGGAAGCAGAGCCCGGCCATCTCGTCCAGCTGTTCTCGGTGGATTTGGAGCACAAACTGCCTGGAGGACACAACTAGAATAAATAACCTGTTAACCAAAGTCCTCATTGCTACTTGCTGCAAGCACCTTTGGCAACGCTCTGCTCATCTGGCAGAGGCAAGCTGTGCTTCCATCCGTGTTCCAGGAGCCTTCTATGGCCACCTGGCAAATGCTTCCGGGAAAGGGGGAGCGGAATCCACAGTGAGTCCAAGCATTTGGGTTTGGGTGGTCAAAACATTTCTCTCCCATTCGCATAAGCTGAAGATCGGAGGCTCGGCAATTGCCAGTGCTTTCTCACAGAGGGCAAACTTGGACCCAGGAACTCCACGGCTGCAGGCTGGCAACTGCCCCGCCTCTCTCAAGCAGGCTGGCTGGCTATCGACAAGGGCGACCTGTAACGCACCCGAGATGTCCCCTGGCAAGTGACGACCACGGCACATGACCAGGTGCTTTCGCAAAGTGGGCAGGGGGAGGGCAGGACAATTCCGAATACTAACCTTTCCAATGTTCCCTTGAATGGGAGTGAGCTATCGGGTAACTCCCTCTGGCCACAGGCCTTCGGTGACTTCTTGGCGACTGTGATGTTGATGCCTTTGGAGACAAGCCCTGAATCCTGTTCCACAGCATCAGGAGGATGGGGAAGCATGTTCTGAGGGCGCCGGTTCTTGAGCAGCCCCATTTCCTCACTGCTGAAGGTCACCCCGCATGCCTCTTTCGCGTGGCCAAGCTCCAGCTGCCTGAATGCCCGGCCAGGCTGCAGCAGGCTGCTTTCCACAGGGGAGTCCGTCCTTCCTGCATGGCCCAAGATGGACAACGTGCTCGACACAAAAGACTGCTCCACCGCTTCAATACGCTGAAGCAGCGTCCTGGGCTTGGTGCTGTCGTCTTCTCCCGAGCCGAACTGCCCTGGACAGCTCAGTGGGGCGATTGTGGCCGCTTCTGTGTCCGCATCGTAATACAGGCTGCTCACATACTCACTGAACTGGAGGTTATGGAGACGCGCGCTGCTCCCCTCGTCCGTGCAGGGAGAAGGGAGACCCACTAGACCTGCGTCTTCGGCAGAGTAGCCACAGACACAGCCGTGCAGCTCGTTCAAGGCCGATGCGACCCCCCGGGGGGAGGAGGCCTGTGGGCTGTGACAAGACTGGGAGAGCCACTTGGGTCTGGCCTGTGGGGAAAGCACCTTGCCGGTGTTTCTCCTCCACTGGTCTCTTTCATAAACGCTGGACAGAGAGGGTGCTCTACTTCCACAAAACTCTCTGGTGTCCTCATAGTCCCAGTGCTTCGTGGGACTAACTGGCTTTCCTTCTATTGCATCCTCCTCCTCCTCCTCCTCCAGTAGAGCCTTTCCTTCCCACGGCTGGGACTGGTCTTCCTCAGAAGTGCTGCTTGTCCCCACATCAAGGAATGTCACTGTCAAAGGGGCCATCGCTCCAGAGGCAAAGTCCATGGAACAATCCTGACCCGCAGAAAGACCTGCTTCTTTTTGGAGACCCTCTCCCTCTGCAATTCCTGAAAGTGGACCTTTGACACTGCCTTCTGCCAAGCTGTCAGCAATGGTCTTTGTGGAGCCCAACAGACCCGCAAAAGGTGAACTTTGTGCAGCTTTTTCTGGCGCGGAGCAGTGTTGGTCACTCAGAGGCAGACCCGCCAATTTGGGCGGGTTTTGCCCAGCCAGCGGCTCTTTGGTGTTTGTCCTGTTACACCCAGCACTGTCCTCTTGTGAGCAGTAAGGCTTCTCTGGCATGTCCTTCCGTGGAGGGGACTCAAGTGCTGAAGCTTCCTCTCTGCTCCAGCCAGGCCGATTCTTTGTGCCTTCTTCACAGCTAGCGGCCTCCTTCCCCCTTGGCAAGGCTGCGCCTTTATTCCCAGGCTCGGAGAAGAGCTCGTGCCCGCCCTGGACCTCCGGACCGTCCGCCCCGCACTCTCTCTGATGGAGAAAGAACGAGCCCTGGCTGCAGTCCCCCCGGCCCTCTGCCTGAGCCTTCCGCTGGCTCGGCCCCGGAGAGAAGGAATCGTCACTGAAGTCGCTGTCGTCCAACTCGTCCAGCTGCATGGTTGCATCACAGTGCTGGGGGGAGCCAGGGGTCCGGCAGGGGGCCTCGTGCTTCACCTGGAGGCCCCGAGGCTTGTACTGGGCCAAAAACCTCTCCAGAGGCTGGAAGTTCAGCTTCTGCTGCAGAAGAGGCGGCTGCTGGAACTGCTGGTGGTAACGGTGAAGGTGCTGCTCCCTCTCCCTCTGGTGTGGCGGAAGCCCCGTCCAGGCAGCGGTGCACTGCTCGGCAAACAGCCTCCCACCGTCCCCCTCGTGGGCCAGCGCATGATACGTGTCTCCGAGGGGGAAATCGGCTCGAGGTATGAGCTGCTTCCTCACCGGCTGCGCTTTCAGGCACTTGCCCTGCTGCGCATCTCCCTGGCCACCCTCTTTCCTGGCCACGAGGTCCTTCCCGACGTGGCTCTTCTCGGCATGCTGAGGGGGGCCCTCGGCCGTCGCCTTGGCTGCCTTCAGAGCCCCTTTCACCGGGCTGACGTGGCCAAGCCACTGTGCACCAACCTGCCCCTTGCGCGCCTGTCCTTTTGGGGTAGAAGAGAAAGGGGGCTGCCCGGGGTGGGCCAGCAGTGAAGAGGCCTTCACCCTTGACGAAGCAGTCAGCACCAGGGGGCGCTGCAGTCCCAGCTTTACTTTCTTGGGAGAACTCTTTTCCCCAACTTGCACACGAGGAGAGCTCTGGATGCGCTTGGGAGACGTGCTTCCTGTAGTCGGCCGCCTGTTTGCAACAGGGGTACAACATTTCATCCCTCTTTTTAACTCCTTCACCCTGGAACGAAACACCAAGATGGTCAGGCTGCCTTTTGGGACAAGCAGCTCTAGGCAGCTTATGTGAAAGGAATCAAATGCAATTCTAATAAATTAACACCCAGAGTTAAAATGGCACATAAGCCATTCTGAAAGCCAGCAAGACACCTCGCATTAATTGAAACCGCCAACGAATTAGTCGCAAAAAACAGCGAACAAACCCAGTATTGACAAGGCCAGGCAAGTAAATGTTTTTAGACAAGGGCCATTTTTACGGTTAGGTAACACCTCGCATTTGCATGGCATTTTCAGACACATTTGCAGCACCAGACCTGTCATTTGCTGCAATCCTTACCGCTACCCTGCAGGGTGGGGCAGCGGCATGATCCCCCTGCTGAAACCACCATGGGAGCTCAGAGTGGGCCAGAGAATCGGAACGCAGGACGTCCCAATCTGCAGGGCAGCCTCTCAGCCACTGCACTTTGCTCACGAAGAGAGCCGCCCATCCTGGTTCTAGTCCATCCAAGCCAGTGCAGCTCCACTAGCAGGAAAAGCTCCCTCAGGCCTTATCCCTGAAGCTACAGTACGTGCCCGTAGAAGACATGGCTTCTGCCCAGCATCATCTCAGAAACAGAGAAACAGGGCGAGTCAGAAGGGACCTCCCGGGCCATCTAGTCTGACCCCCGGCTCCAGCCGGCTCCACTCACGACATGCCCGCCATGTGCACGTCCAGCCTATCTCTGAACACCCTCACCGATGGGGCCTCAACAACCCCTCGTGGAAGCCCATTCCACACCCTGGGGGTCCTGACTGTCAGGAAATGCTTCCTGGCATCCAAATGGGACCTGGGTTCCCTGAGCTTTGCCTTCCTCTGCAGGGGAGGACAGGTCTTTTCCCACCTCCGTGAATTTTTTCCACAGGAAAATGTTCGCAGAGGACAGAGAATGGGTCACAGGGCCTGGACGATGTGGGGCGGCAAGAGAGGGCAGTCAGTCCAGGTCCAGGGAGTGCCTGCTTAGGTTTTAGGTCTACAGGGAAGAAGCTGAGGCCACATTAGAGTCTATACTTGATGATATCAATGCAAACTCCCTCCCTCCCATCTGTACAGCCATTTGGGGTGTTCAGACCTCCTGCATTGAAGCTGGAGCTGATGACAAGAGGCATTAGAGCAGGCGAAGGGATTACCTGATTCCTGGGCTGCTGGGATGCGCAGGCCCTCAGAGAAGCACTGGGGCTACCAGTGTGAAAGCTCTGCTGTGTGAAAGCTCTGCCAAAAACTACAAGCCACAGAGTTCCTTCACTCCTGCTGAGATTTCTGTGCACAGCTAGAAGATGCCAACTGGGTTACATCTAATGTTGTTCCAATAGAAAAGTCACAAGAATTGATGTTCTGCTAGTGCTGAGGTGGGGAACATGTGGCCTTCGAGTCTCAGCATCTTTCATCCTTGCTTCTGCTGACTACAGCTCAAGAGAGCTGTGGTCCAACAACATCACGCTGGACCACCTGAGAGGACTTACGGGGAACAGCTATTTCACGTGGAGTAACCCAACCAGTTCACTGTTTGAGGATGGAAGAGGAGAGGAACTTAGCTGTAAAGAATCTACGAATCTGTGGCTGCAAATACAAGCAAATGTACCCAGGACAGTGAACAATTTACAGGTGTGTTATCGGTGGTACATCACTGCCTATAAATGGAAAGGAGGCCATCCATCACCACAAAACCATTGCTGGTATTGTAAGGAAGTGCACACATCTGCACATTCATTAGAAAGCTGTAACATTAAGAAATTCTAGAAACCACCATTCACATGCACCCATGGCGCAATCCTGCATGTGTTTAAATATAAAAAAGTCCCCAGTGCCCGGTAGGACCCAGGGAGTTTCCGTCTAAACTGGCGCAGGGTGATGCCTTAAGCAAATGACCAGTCCCAGAATTCCACAGGATGCTCTTGCTCGTTGCAGGGAAATGACGATAGGGTACGGCCTACGGAGAAAGAGTTCTCCTGCAGCCACCACATACCCTGCAGCAGAATTACGCCACCCAAGCAGCATGGCTGAAAATACATACGGACACTAGAGGAATTCTGTGAACACGGAATTTATAACAAAAACCCACTGTGATGCCCAAGAGCAGTCTGAGTACCTCTCGCTCAGTGCAACGGAGCGAGGCTGAGCTAACGCAGGATCGTGTCCAGAAATGTGTGCTCTGCTGGGCACTTTGACCCACTAGCTAAAGGCAGAGCTTGGCCAAGAAAGCCACCTGGAAGCTGCAGGGGAATGAATGCCTGCGTTGCGTTGCATTGCGTTGGCAGCCAAGCGCGACGAAATCGTCATTACTCTGCGGCTCGGGGCAATTCCAGCGAGGCTTGCAGTGCTCACCTCCCTGAGAGACAGACCAGTATCTTGTTTCTTTGGTAAGAAGTCTGTAGAGGAAGTGGGGCAGAAAGTGGGGACCAGTCGAGCCCCTGTGGCAGAAGGTGGCGCAGGCTATTTCTTGTCTCCGGGGCAACAGGAGCCGGCCTGCGAGGTGACCCTGCACGCGTGAAGCTGCCGCTCAGGCAACAGGCAGCCAGGTGAGGAGGTCGGCGTTGCGTTGTGGCCTATCGAGATGGAGCCTGGCCTGGCCTGGATTTTCTCCCGGGGTTGATCCGGGGAGCCACTCACCTGTCCGCATAGCGCAAGGTGTTTAAGGTGTGCTCTGTTGCAACGTGGCTGGGGGAGACATTGGCTATCATGCACGTCTTGGAGTTTCCGACAAAAGAGTCTTTGAGGACCTTGATTGAGGGAAGGAAAGGGCACATTGAGTTCCTGAAGCAGAAAAGCCTCTTTTGAAACTGTGCCTACCCACCCTTAGCCGCTGGACAGAGGCTGGATATAAGCCGAACTAGACGACACAATTAAGAGAATACTTCTCAAAATGCCAGCTGTGCACAGGGACTAGCAGCAAAGTCTGGCTTCTAATCTAAAATTATCTCCAGCACTGTTAGCCAACCGAAAGGACACTTCGCGTCTCTCTGCTTTCCACCCTTAAAGGAGCCAAGCAAGCTTTGCCGAGATGGAGGGAGTTTTTAGAAGCTGGACTTCATACCTGCAAAAACTGGGGGCTCAGATGTTCTGGCCATTCGCTCCTCCCGGGGCAACTCCAGAGGTCCCCGAGACCATCACATCACGTGCGGGAGCCTAATCCGAATCTGTCCTATTTCGTCTCAAGGCTGATCATGCAGCCACGAGGATTTCAAAATCATCAGCTGTCCAGCCTGCTCTTTGCAAGGTGCTGCCTGAGGAGAGGCTTTGGGATCTCCGGAGTGTGCATTTTTGTGACCTTTTCATTGGCTCAGCAAAGGTATTACACTAACGTGGGTTTTGGATTTTTTTTTTTTTTCTGGCCATCACTGCTGCTTTTGCTTTCTGCTGTGATACCATCACCAAGGAGCGTAACGCGCTGTAATTTCTGAGATACGTCTCACCCACCTCGACTTGAGGATCTCCGTTCTGCTCCAGAGGGCTGGCTATGCAAGCCCTTGCCATGGATAAGGTTGGCATTTATACTTGCTGACCTCAAACGTAGCCAGACCGCTAGGAGCAGCCCTCGCTGAAGCACAGAGCGTGAGAAGTGCAAGCGTGTTTTTGATTGCCGAGTCACTATTCTAATGGGGCTACACAAGGAAAATTCTGGATTGGCCAATCCGGAACCTTGGCGAGAAGGACACGCTGTTCACTAAATCACTAATGAACATCACCCTCGTCATTGCCAGGAAATCAGGCATGGGGTGAACACTGGGTGCAAGTCCCCAGTGCGATGTAGGACCCCTAACCCTTTTGCACCCATAATAACGGGCCAGCTCGGCTCAGCTGACTATCCAGTTCTGCAAATCATACAAAAAGTCAGTATCAACCCAGAACCTCTCTTGTTCCTGCGAAACAACTCCGGCACGGCAGCATGTGACATTAGCAAGCGGTAGCCCAGCGGGAAGCAGCAAGTTTGCCCCCTTAACTTCCACATCAGCTCACTTTTCAGCAAGCAGCTGGTCACTTCTATTTTTAATTCGGCAAGCAGGCTCGCCCAGGACTCGGCGCTGGTCGGTCTGCATCTGCCCAAGCGCGCTGGGTTCTTTCTGGGGGTGCTTAACTGGGCATGAGCCCATTCAGGCTCCCATCACAGCCTTCATCCTCATGGGAATGAAAACAGCCCAACTACTTTCACGAAGGCAGAGGGTTTGTTCCAGTCATTTCAGGACCTGCAACCCCCACAGGGCTAATATCCGGTCCCCTGTGATGAACTCCCAGATTTTAGGGAAAAGCCTCCGTAGACCCCTGTCCCTCTGTAACAGGTAAACGTTTGCAGCTTGGCCTTTCTGCGTCCTATTCTTCACCAGTTCTGTGCCTTGCAGTACCCAAGACAATGCCACTGAGATTCAGAATTTGCCCCGCTGCACCCCAGCCTTCAGCCACGCCTGCCGGAGCCCGAGCACCCTCACCCAAGCCCCGCTTGGCAAGCCTCAGCTCCCCGCCGCCACGCTTCTTTCTCCATGTGCTTCCAGTGCCGTGTGTCGGTTGCCGGGTCCAGTTGAACTGGGCCTGCCCGGCCGACCGCCCCATCTTGTGTCAGAGCCGCCTATCTGCCCACCTCGCATGGCCTGCAGCAGAGCCTCGCGTTCTTGGTTGGGGCTTTGCCTCTGTTCGGTCACCAGGGTCCCTGGAGCAAGTGGGATGTTTTCAGCCCTGCAGTGCACCGTGACTTTAGGTGCAAGATCTGCCCGGACGTGCGTCCGCCGACTCCGGGTGTGCATGCGCGTGCCAGGGTGATGTGGTAACGAGGCCCCGCACTGCATTTTTACCTCGAGCGCCCTGCACAGTTCCCCTCCCACTTTTTGACTTCACAGCAACTCTGTGACGTAGATTAGGCTGAAAGCGAGACCGGACACAGGTGAGTGGAGCCCTGAACCCGCGTTTCCCCAGCCATACTCTGGCACTCTAGCCAATACACCGGTGACCTCAACAGGATTCCTAGATGCACGTCTGTGATTTTTGTTAAGCCCCTTTCTCCCCGAAAAGGTGTTTGCCTTCCTTCAGAAATATGCAGCTTTCCCGTCCTTTTAGTGTCACTCGAACCGCTCCATTCTTCCAGTTCCTCCTCCCGTTAAGCCTCAGGTAAACGGTTCTGCCGATTCTTGACAGTGGCCCTCGGGCATTTGAAGGGCGCCTGGTGTTGGCCGGGACTTTACCTGCGTCAGTTTGCTTTGCCGGAAGGGAGTGTGAGCGTGTTCCTGGTCCAGGGCACGGATGCATTCCTTCAGCTAGCGAGAGAGAGAGAGAGAGAGAGAGAGAAAGGACACAGTGGCCTCACAAGCCGCAGCTGGGACAGTGCCGCACATGGCAGCGCAAGACAAGGCAGTTTCCCACAACAGCACACATCTCCTGAAAAAAAAGTGTCCCCCCCCCCCCACTGAATAGCAGCCCGGTGTCGCCTCCCCACTGCCTCTGCCCAGAACTGCATTGCCTGGGCCAGACAGTAGGGTGGTCCCTTGAGTTACTTCCCAGTGGATGCGCTCAGTGGGGCAACCGTTCGCTTCCTCGATGGGTTTTGCAGGGGGATGTTTGTTTCCTGCTGAGAACAACTGGGCCCTCTAAGCCGGCTTCTCTTATTTCGTCGGAGCTGCTTAAAATAACAGGTGGCCAACTCGCCTTTCTCTGGTTATCCCTGGGGAGGTAGGGAAGCGTGAGGATCCCTGCTTTCTCTGGCCTGCGCGAGCAGCTACAGCTCCCATAACTTTGACCACTGGCTGAGCTAGCTGGAACAGATGGCCTGCAGTGGGGAACATCTGGAGGGCACCCCATTGCCCATCCCTGTTCTGTGCAAGCAGGCACAGCTTCCTTCTGTTTCCTCAGGCACCCGGTCTGCCTGTTTCATCTGGCTGGCAGAGGCTCTTCAAGGGCTCAGCCAGAGTCCGCCTCACCCCCTGCGGCTCCCGCTCCGTGTCCCCTTCCCAGGGCCAACAGTGGCTACCAGGCAGGCAGCCACACATCCTCTGGTACCAGGGGCAGGAGATCCCCGCAGAGCCGTCCCTGGGGGCGTTACGCGGGAGGGTGCTGGGCACACGCAGCCTCCGGGCAGCCTCACAGGCATCTGGTTGCCCTGGGGGCAGGATGTAGCACTGGGGGAGCCTGTCTGGTGAGCTTCAGTGGCCTCTTTAATAGCCGACTTCTCGCTGCTCTTAGGCAGCCTCCTGGATGATCTTCCTGACATGCAACAGACCCAGTGAGGTCTGGCTGCGTGGTGCCACTCCTGAAACCAAACTGGAATGAGGGCAATGCTTCCTGCTCCCATTTCTGGCATCCTCTGGGTTGTGGGGGGGGTGGCACCCAGGAGAAGCAGAACGCACAGCTTTCTCACTGCACGATGGGCACTTTGCCCAGTTGCAGGAGCCCCTGAAAAATTGCCCAAGGAGAAGCAGGGCTGCCTGCAGCCTGCAAACACGCCGTGACATGTCGGGGAGACGCTGGTTCGCCCTTGGTCTCTGAGTCTCAGGCTCCTGCAACAGCATCCGGCGCTTGACACGAAATACAAGCTACTCCATGCGGCGTCCCCAGCCAACAAGCATGTCCGCGTTCGGAAAAGTAATTCTGCCTTGCAATGGGTGAAGCCACGGGTCCACCTGCCTCAGTCCTGCCTTCACGGGATGACCGGCGTTCTCCGTGACTCCGGGCGCAGGCCCCCCGAGCCGTTCGCAGAGGTGCTGAGGACAGACCCCGCGGGGGCAGCTCCAGCCCTGAGCGCTACCGCCCTTGAAGCAGTCCCCGCACCATGCATTTTACGCCAACTTACAGCCAGCAGGCTTTGGTTTATTTCTGCCCCCTCCATTTTCGTCTGTCTGTCAGAGTCCCTGGCGTCAGCGGCTCGCTCGCTGCCGGCCAGATCAATAAAGGAGATCCTGGGAAAACAAAATGAGTTACGTTAAGCGCACCCTACCCTCCTGCCAGTGGAGCCCAGGTGAGGGTCTGGCCCCAGCTGCCCTGTGGGGCGGGCTCTCAGCCTTGTGGCTTGCTCAAGCCCAATTAAGCCAGCCTCACAGCGAGTCTTCGAGACTTCCAGGGTGGTTCACGACACAATACAAACCATCACGCCATAGGAATTAAATAACACGAGCAGGTAAAAGCCTGAGAAGTTTTGGGGGGTAGATTTTGTTTACCTGGTTTCTGCAGTCTTGGAGACATGAGGTCTACTAAGACCAGTTCAAGGCCCGGCCACATCAGCCCAAGCGCCCGACTCTTGATCGCTCACCTTCCAAACACTCGGTTTGCCGCATCTTTAATCTGAATCTGGATAACGGCATGGGAACGAGAGGAATCCGAGTTGACTCCGGTTGCCCCCGTACTGCGCTCCTTTCCTCCTTTCAGAATCACCTGGGGGGAAGCCAGAGCAGCAAATTCCATGCATTTTCACCCACGCCTATTTTCGTTCAGAGTCTCCAAAATGGAAGGCGCCAAAGAGACCATTTTGTCCCGCTCCTGTGCCAAAGCCAGGCTACCCCTCCCCTCAACGCCCTGCACAGAGCGCAGACTGCAGAGGAAAGAGCAGGTGCCGGGAAGCGCTTAGCAGAGCGGTCAGCAAGCGCGGATTAATGCAACCACGGCCGATGCGGGTGGGGACAAGGGGGGAAATGGGCATGTCGCGAGCGGAGCCGGCTGGAGCCGGGGTCAGACTAGATGGCCCGGGAGGTCCCTCCTGACTCGTTCTGTTTCCATGAAAATCCCTGCCCCAGCCAGAAGTCACTCTGCTGCACCGCTCCTGAAGCCCAGGGAGAAATCAGCCAGAGCCTGAGCAAGGGCAGAGCACCACCCAGCCCGGGCCTTGGCTGTGGCAGCAATACAAGTTCCAGGAGATGCAAACAGGCAAGCTGACCCCCATTCGTGGAGAAAGGCCGCCTCATCCCCTCTTCGACTCAGTCCGTGCATCTTGCTCCTTCTACTGCAGTGTGTAAAAGCCTGATGAAAAAATCCCCTTATCGCTCAGGTGCTTCCTAACTGATCCTGAGCACCTGCCTTTTCACTGAACTTCCCCTTCCGTGTGTGACCTTTCTTGAAGTCCAGGGGCAGGGCCTGGATTCCCCCCTTCCCACAGCACTTAATCTTGTCAGAGCTGCAGATGTTGCTGCTGCTGCCTTGAAAGAACTGTGCACCGTTTCAATGTTAGCACTCTGCAAGTACTTGAAAGGGTGTCACAAAGAGGAAGGACAGGATCTCCTCTTAATCACCCCAGAGTGCAGGACACAGAGTAACTGGCTCAAGTTAAACCAAGCCAGATTCTGGCCAGCTATCAGGAAAAATTTCCAGACTGTTACAGCAGTACAAGAGTGGAACCCATGGCCTAGGGAGGTGGCGGGCTCTCCCACACTGGAGGCATTCAAGATGCAGCTGGACAGCCATCTGAGAGGGATGGTTTAACTCAGCATCCTGGACGGGGCAGGGGGTTGGGCCCGATGGCCTTCTGTCCCCTCCCAACTCTACTGTTTTATGTTTCTGTGAATTTATATAAAGAATGCAACAACTGTTTTGAAATCATTTTGCTCCTTCCATCCACATTTTTCTGGTTATGAACTCATTCTCCAGCCAATGTCTTTTCAAAATTTAAATGCCTGTCATTTTGCAGAAATATTAGGCAGTGGGGAAGTAACAGCTGAGTGAAAGGCTTTTATTTGTCAGTTGTCCTATAATTATCACCAACAGTCAACACACACTGTCATAAAACCAAGAGGCGGATTTGTAAAGGGAATAATTTGCTGAGTCCTCATTACCATGGCGAGGCCTTTCACACAGACCATTTATCACTTAAGACTACCCAAAAAACACCTTCAGAACCCGTCCATGCAGAAGAAACACGCGGCGGAAAAGCACAGAGCAGAGTGTCTTTTGCTGAGGCTACAGGTGAGCTGAACTGTTTCTTCTCTTAAACCTTCTCTGCTTCATATTTTAACGACACTGGAGTGCTGAGTGAGCCAGAAAGCAGAGAGCCATGCAAGCAGCCCAGCCTAATGCCAGTTTGCTCATCGGTCTCGGTGCGGAGGCACTGCCAAAGTAAGCAGCAAGGCTGAAATGACCCACTGCAATTAGAATTCCTGGCCAATGCAGCAGACCGAGGAATCGGAGAGATTCTCACAGCTGGACTTCCGTCCAAGTTTCACACACTGAGAACTGAACAGTCGTGCAATTCCACAACTGAGCAAGATTTGAACACAAATCTCTTGGGTCTGGGGCCATTTTTCTGTCCAGTGTGGGGGCTGAACTCCAACTGGGCAAGGGTGCTCTTCTGCTCAGGTGGTTAAGGCTAGACAGAGCCCTGCACAGTTGGGAAACGGCACCTTCCAGGTGGGCTGAGCCAAGTGAGCGGAGGGAGGGAAGAGAAGTGGTCGCACAATTCTGAAAGCAGCAAGAACAAAGGCAAGGGAACTGCGCTGGTTGCTGCTTATTCTGAGTGTGGGTCATGCAGGGGAAGGCAGAGCGTAACAGCCCAAGTGGCTCTAGAGAAACAAGCCCTGAAACGTTAACCCCAAATCTAGAAAACTTCGATTAAAATTCTTAACATGTCACCAAATGGGTCCAAAGCCCATGAGATACAGAAGGACAATTGAAGCAATGGATTATTATTGCTCTGTATTTTTCAGTATTGCTGCATCCAGTATTGGGCACCGAGCTTCCTGACATATGTGGAGGAGGATGACAAAAAATGGGAACCATGCTGTTTTTTAAGTCTAATGTGAGTCCAAGGCCTCTCACATTTCCAGGTTTTTGTCATAATAAAACTCTGAGCCCTAAAACGCAATTATGTTAAAGCCGCCACTTCCTTGAACTTGACTATTATCAGCTGTTACAAATCTGGGGAAGACTAAGCACGCAGCCCTATGCAAGTCTACTCAGAAATAAGTCCCGATGACTTCAGTGGGATTTATTTCCATGGGAATGGGCCTCTCGAACAAAGGAGGCCCTTTCATATGCAGTGATGGAGCCAAGCATGCGGCTCATCACATTTCAGACACCCCTTTGGGTTTAACAGGCCTTTGGGTGGCACTTCCTTGCAGTCATTTTGGGTTATATACACAATTCTTACACATGCCAAGTTATTTAACATGCTTCGTGTATTTAAGATGAGGCAGGGAAGACAAAGTGGGCAGGGGGCTTCTCAGCTCATCACTCCTGTTGTGGAATACACTTTCCTGTGCTTCTCGGAGTGACTGATCCTGTGGCCCCTAAACCTCACCTGGAGGGCCACAGGTTATTTCGGATATCTGGCAGTGAAGCAGAGCTCTGGCTGTGTGGCTGGGAGCCCATGCTCTGCCGCCCCTCCCTGCTGGAGTGGAAAAACCTGTGCCAGCTCTCCCTCAGAGGTCAGGAGCTCAACTGCCAGGAGGGGGTAAAGGGCGTATTCCCGGGGGGGGCGGGGGCAGCAATGAGCGAATACCAGAGGCCAGACTACGGGATATCCTGTGGCCTCCCCAGCACTCTGAGGAGTCCCAGCTGGACACAGTGAAAATGTAAGGCAGGACGAGCAGGGAAGTGAAGGTCGACTCTGCCCCTCCTCTTGCTCTGCACCAGATGATTATCAAGCCTTCAAGTCTGAGGGCAGATGGCCATCTCAACTGGACTGCGCCCTTACTGTCTTTTTGGCACCAGCCAAAGATATTATGTTTTTCATGCTTTGTGGATACCATTTTAAATCTTGCTGTTTTATGCTGCTTTTGTGATCTTGTGGAAGCTATTTATTGGTGGGGGGTGTACTTTCTATATTGCAAACTGCCCTGAGAATATAGCTGAAGGGTGATATAAAGATACCCTATTATTGGCATAATATTTTTCGATTTATTTATTTTTCGATGTATATCCTGCCTTTTTCCTCAAAAGGCTCAAGGCGGCTTGCATCATTCCCCTCCTCCATCTTATCCCCACAACAACAACCCTGCGAGGTAGGTTGGGCTGAGAGTCTGTGACTGGCCCAGAGTCACCCAGTTGGCTCCATGGCTGAGCGGGGACTAGAACCCAGATCGTCTGAGTCCCAGTCCCACGCTCTCCACCACGACGCCGCACTGGCTCTCTGCCAATGATAATAGGCATCATTATGAAAATACAAAGGAAATTAATCTTTAACTTGTAGGATGCGATAACAGAAGGAAACATACTCCCCTTGTCCTAAAGCAGCTGTGATCTCAGACACACCACAAAGGAACAGTGAATTCCAAAAGCAAGAGCATTAAAGCTGGAAAAAGCAGAGTAGGTGCTTGTGCTTGTGCTTGGAAGTGGGGGCAGCAGCGGGCCATGGCATTCTGACACAGCTCAACGGGAGCTGCCTTTGTCGGGGCGGAGACTATTTCTGATGCTGCACCCCACAGTTACATTTGAAAGAAAATAGAATAAAAGGCCGTGTTTGGAAATGGGAAGGCTAACGCACGGCCACGATGCACATTCAGTGGCATTCATGGGGAGCTTAAAAGGCACCAACTGCCGAGGACAGCGCTCCGAGTGAAGCTGCAGCACAGAGTGACTCGGCGCTTGCTGGCCAGAATCACATCTTTGGGTCCCGCTGGCAAAGAAGGACGCTGCGTCCACTAGTTCGCCTCTGGAGTGGCAGCAATACAAAAGTTCAGCAAAGTGCTGCACTTGTCTTCACAGCAGTAAGTGCCACACTGAGGTCAACAGGGCTTTCTCTGGGACCGTTCAAAAGGCTGTGGCCGCCTGCAGCGCTTTTGTCCGCACGTGGGCACAGAGTCTGGACTGCCGCTGGTGCCTTAGATCTGGCTCTAGGCTCAGAGCACAGAAAGGAGGGGAGAAAGCGCCTTACGGGAAAAGCGAAGAACATCTCCTGGATGCAAAGGAAATGAGCAAATGGCTCGTCTTCTTACGGACAGGGCGACCTGCTTTTATTGCTCTGGGATTCCCTCCTCTCTCTGCTTGCATCACTTTTCCATGATTTATTTGTTAACATTTCTGGTCACGTCATGGGACCAATGTTGTAGCTTTAAAGGCGAAAGGTCTAAAACCTCCATGCAAAGTTTTGCTAGAGAAAGGGAGTTCTTTGCCATCCAATTGCAATCCCTGGATATCACGTGTCCCATGTTTCCTTTCATGTTTTAAGCTGTTCCGAAGACATGGCTTCCCATGCAAAGGGCTACCCCTGCCAAACAGAGTGTTCCACCATGCAGGGGGCTGGGGGAGGTGGGAGTAAGATTTCAAAGCAACTTACTCCACAGCGGACTCAGGCAGATGCAGTTTCTTTGCACCAACAGGAGCTGCCTCTAGGTTAGTCTGGGCTCAGTCACATACCTTCACCGACCATATTGCCCATCCCAATTGTGACCCGAAGCACGATGGGGACCCCTGGAGAGCCATCAGAACAGTTTTATGGGTCTTGCAAAGCATTTCCATTGTACCATGGCCAGAAGAGCACGTCTGACCCTGCAGCCCCACCTTCTCCCCCAGTCCAGCTGCTTCTTGCCGTGTGGGGAAGCTGCAAGAGCGGAGAATTAAGGGGGGTGCAGATCACATTTGCGTGCACCACGGGCCACGGGAGACAACGAGGCACATGCCGCCGATCAAGGTTACCTCCAGGAGCAGGCTGACAGTGTTCACCTGGACCTCCTGCAGCCCGACGATCTGCACAACGTGTTTGCTGTCTTCCCTCGCAAAAAGCCTGCCGGAGAAGCCACATGGATCATGTCCTTTTGGAAAGAGCACCGCGCAAATTGCTTCTTAAAAATATCGGAATCTATATATTTGCAGCACAGCAAAAAGGATGTTTCCACAAAATGCCCTCTGGAGAGACTGCAGCTGGCATGTGGTAACCGCAATAAATTGGTATGTCTGGGCCACTGAGACAAACAGCGATCCAGGGCAGGAGGAGCAAACGCCGGCTCAGGAGGCCACTGGCCAAAAGCCGGGGAAACAGAATAATCTTCACCTGACTCCCAGGCGGCCACAAGGTGGGTGCCAAGCAAGTCCCCCGGCCCCAGAAAAGGTTGTCCCTTGACCTGGCTAATCTCTGGAAGATGATGATCTCAGTGGACAGACAGGTTCACGCAACAGACAGCGGCCTTTTCGATACCTGCGGTGGAGGCTGCTTAGAGCCGGTGCTTTTACTCAGGCCGTGAACCTAAGTGGAAGTACGCGTACTTAAGAACTGCTCCTTTCAATGACTTGGCTGCCACATTCTGAACAAGCTCACTTCTGAATTATCTTCCAGCACTCGGAGCATGTTTCAGCAAGCCGCCCGTGGCCTTCCCCACCTTGGGATGCTCCAGATGTATTAGGCTACAACTCTCCACACACCTGGAGGGCATCACTGAGGTGAAGACGGCAAGGCAGCGTGGGGTCCCAAAGGAGCGGGCTGGAGCTGCTTCCTTCCACGGGTATCGCTTCGGCAAGCTCCTCAAGGCTGGATTTACTCGCGCCTTCCAAGCGGTGCAGCTGCTTCTTCAGCACAATGCCATCCAGGGCAGGCCAAACACCTCCTCCCTGGTGGACTGAAGCCCCACCAGCAACACCTCCCCCTCACTGGGTGGAGCACGTTTGCCCTCTCCAAGCCTGTGAGAGACTCAAACGCCTCTTCCCCACATCCACTGCTGCCCCTGATCAGATGAGAAGCAGCCGAGTGCCTGGGTGGCGCCAGCGGGCGAATGGCAAATGCAGGGCGAGCCTGTTGATTGGGCCGGAGGCTCCCCAGAATGACGTCCTGCCACCCACAGTGGCCGCCGGCAGGCGGGTCCCACTGTGGACGGTGAACAGTCAAGGTCTAGTTGCAAACACAGGCAGAATTCTGGCTGTACATGAGGCAGGTGGGGGGCCACCGGTGGGAACAGTTGTTGCCGTTTGATTTCACGGTACAGCCCCTTCTGTTCAGAGACAGAATACAGAGCACCACACTTCCCACCTCTCTGTATTTCACGCTTGAGGGGCAGCAACACTGCTGAGTGTATCAGCCAGGACAACTGGTCGTGAGGGAAATTAATTATGTTGATATTTAAATTGTCGCTTATCGAGCACCGAGTTAATAACCTGCAGAGATGATGGAACGCTGGCGCTCTTCTGTCTCTGCAGGGGCTCTTCTCAAGCAACCCGTCCCACCTTGTGCCAAACAGCAGATCCTTTAAGCACACAGACAGTGGCACACTCCTCGGGTCACCTTGCTAAAGAACGGGAAGCAAGCGAATGCGGGGGGGCCGTGCACGAACTGGAGCTCTTCCAGAAGAGAAGCAGTTATGTCTGAAATGAAGCACTTTTCCAAGCTTGTGTGGCTGCTAGAATTGCCAGAAATGATGGAAAGGGAAAGGGTGTCTGACGTCCACCGAGCCCCCTATGCTAGCTATGCACGTAGCGGGAAGGGAGGTGGGCAGGCTTCCCCCACCTGGAACAACAGCTGGGCCAGTCATTGCTTGCCCTCACACGCACCCTGTTGCCTTGCTGGTGGCAAGAGAAGGACCAGCAGGTCGTTCTCGGGGATGTTCCCAACTCTGGCTCTGGGTCTTGGGCTGTTGTTCCCCAAAGTAAACCCAGTTTGAAAAGCCCCCAGAGGCACCCTGAGCGAGGCGCGCGGTTCTTTGGGCAGCTTTTCGTGAGGCATCAGGCAAGACAGCTCCTCCTCCCTAGACGCGGCATTCAGCGCCACCTGATTTATGGCCCTTGTCTTAAAAGCTCAGCTCTCAGATTTAAGTACCTCTTCCTTCCATTCAGCAGGTCATAAAGCTGCCCACAGTAGATCTCGTAAAAGCTGATCGAGACGTGAAGGTCCTGCCTGCCCTGGGAAGCTTCTAATTGCCTGAAGATATCCTTAGCAGCCAGGGCATACAGTCCAGGGTTTTGGTGAGTGCCAATCATGGTGTAGGTCTTACCAGCACCGGTCTGCCCATATGCAAAGCAAGTGGCATTGCCTCTGTAAGACAAGAAAGAGAAGCGCCTTGAAAAGGGGGCATTTTCTTCAGGAGAATATGAAAGATTAAGGCACAGACACTGGATGCTCCAACTTCATGATCAGAGCCAAATGCAGAAGCCAGGAAATATCCACCAGGAAGTTTCCTGCACCCTCACATGCCCTCTGTTTTCTGTAAAAAGAACACCCTAACCAGGCCTGGCTGTGGAGACGGTCACAAAGCTTAGAGCAGGAGATCCGCGGGGAGAGCATGCAGGGATCATCAGGCAAAGGGGACCTAGGCAAACTTTAGTGTACATGCCTGTGCACGCGTGTGTGTGTGTGTGTGCACACAAGCACACTAAAATTCAGTGATGGTACAGGACAGCTGTGATGTGCTAATTTTTGTTGTAGTTGCTGCCACAGATGTTCCCCCGGTTAGCTATTCCGGGTATGGAGAGCATCCTTGTCAAAACACTGCTCAGCCGCACTGCTCGCGAGCCTCTCTCCTCACCGGGCTGCTGCTCTCTGTCCCCTCAGGCAGAACTGCCGCGGGATCCGGGGGGATCATTTGAGGGCACAGTGGGGGGGGGGGGGCATTGCTCATTAAGCCACAGCTATTATTTGGGAGACCGACATTACGCCGGTGAACAATTGCCTACGTCTTTGAAGACATGCTAAAGCCAGAGGAGAGTGGGGACTGTGCTAAAGAGCGACGCTGCCCCGCTCACACTGCCAGAAGAGATGGGCCTACGGGGTGAAGGCGTTCGTTCCACAGAGTACGGAGTGGAAGAGACTGCTTGGATCTGAAAGCGTGGCATTTCTGCTCCACTGAAAAAAATGCACAGGATAAGCTCAGGTCAAGACACCGTCACCCCAGCTCAGGCTGGTGCCTGCCAGATGTGCTGGTCTGCAATTCCCATCATTCCCAGCCTGCATGCAGGACACCAGTTTGAAGAAGGGTGGGCCCCCTGAACTCCTGGGATAGAAAGAAAGACACCCAGGTACATCCAGAGTTGAAACCTGCAAGCTTCTTGTGTCAGCAGTGTGAAGCCCACTGAATTTGGCAGGACTTTATTGGAACAGCAACTCAAGGCCAGCAGCGTCAGCTGGAGAAAGTCGAGCCTTTACTTCAACCCAGCACCTGTACTCCTGAGTGGCCACAAGAGGCCACTCGCCTTCTAGCTGAGGGTGAAAAGTCATGGAAAGTGTGATTCAGCCCAGGGTGAGCCACGTGGCCCATCGAGCAGCAGCCCAAGAATGCCTCTGAATCTCACATTCACAGTAAGCAGAGTAGCCGGGGTCACGCCCTCCAGCGAAAACAGGAGGGTGCCTTTGCCCCAGAAGAGTCAGGCCACAATGCATTTGTTCGTGTTGAAAGAGCTGGGCCTTCGCTGCTTTTACAACAGATCTGCTGATCTCAGACCGCTGCAGACATAAGTAAAAGTGACCGTGGCTCCAGGCTCTAGTACTTTGAAAGAGGAACAACCTTCTCCCCACCCACTTGCTCCAGGCCATTTACTTCCTTTACTCACCATTTTTCTGGGCAAAATAATGACGAGCATCACAACTTTTCTTCAAAGAAGAGCTATTCCAGCCACTTGGACCTTTGGGTGTCCTTTTCATATCCTCCTTGAATTGAAGTGACATGAACTGCGCACTTTCTTACAAGTGTGGCTGCACTGTCGATTTGTACAATGGCATAATGAAACTGAACAGTTTTATTGTAGATTCCTAATTTCCCAAACACAGAATGCCCTTTTTTCTCAGCTGCCGCCTGTTGGGCTGATGTTTTAGTAAGATATAGGACAGCATGGAAAAGGCGATGGTTTAAAGGAGGATGCAGGGAAGACCCACGCGGACAATGGAAAGGTTCAGAGACACACAGTTAACAAAAGCGATGGCACCCTACCCGTTGAAAATGTGTTGGATGAGGGGGTGAGCAGTCTTCATGTACACATCCTGATTGGAGCAAGTCTCCCCAAAGACTTCATCAAAATAAAACACATGCTGAAACAGGAAAGGGGACGTTTAAGCATTGAAAAGAAAAGGAATGCTTCCTTCTGCGCATGATGACAAAACGCACGCCATGCATGTGGCCCCACTGACAGTGGAGAGGAATCTGGGTTCGTAGCCAAGCTGAAGCCACAGGGCAGCACCACGCACCGGTCACCAGAGGCCACAGGCCAACAGACTCCGCAAACAGAAAATGCAGGCGCTGCCTCTCTCACTGCACAGTGATAGTGTGATGCCTGCAGCATGAAAGTCACAACCCAGAATCAGGCTATGGACTCTTAGTGCTGGCTTCCTGTGACTCCACACAACTCTCTTTCTTCGAAATTAAGCAAACTCAAACACATGTCTAGGCAAAAGATTTATATAACCGGGATTAAAATGTATTCATACACATTTCAATGCAATCCTCATTTAACAAATTCAGGAGTAAAATCAATGCTTAGGGCCTCCGCACTGGTCTGGCTCCCCTTCAGTTCAATAAGGTTTAAGAGAAGGTTTCATTGTTCCGAATGAAACAAGTTCTCTTTAGCTTGTATGTGGCTTTGGGAGCCTCTGGGAGCCCCGCATCCCTGCACATCTCAGGATGTTAAATTCCTTGCAAAGCTCCCAGTCACAAAAGTCCAAGTCCAAGGACATGACAGCTGCCCCAAGGGCTCACTGGCGTTCATACCAGCTTGGAAACCGAACATGCTAACCTAGCCCATGCCATCCCTTAATCTAAAGTGCCTGGGAAGGATATATTATTTATTATTTTATTTATTAGCGGTATATCCCACCTTTTTGCCTTACAAGGACTCAAAGGCAGCTTACATCATTCTTCTCCTTCTGCTCTTGATCTCAGCCCCACAACAGCACCGTGTGAGTTAGGCTGGGCTGAGTCTGTGACCCGCCTCCAGTCACCCAGCTGGCTCTATGGATGACTGGGGACTAGAATCCAGATCTCCTGAGTCCCAGTCCTGTGCTCTTAACCACTACACCATTTGGGCTCTCTCTTCCCGTTACCCAGTGCTGAGGACATGGCACTCTGAATATGCTCAGAGGCACCACTCTGGAACATCAAATGGCCCTATACCAAACCATGCTCGAGACAGATGGACTTCCTGATGAATGTGTGTTGACCAAGAAACCGGCATTCACTGCATTCAGGACGGGGTCCCACACCCTTAGAAGAACCGGTCTGTAGTCGGAGGGGTGCCAGAGGGTCCAGCATTTCACTGGTAGCTTAAATGGCTTTCAGCGCTTTCCGTCAGCTATGGCTGATGCTCCAGCCCTACCCCTTCATGGCAACTGCAATCTGTGCTTGGCTATTAGTGTATTGGACTGAGACACAGTTGCATTTGGACACTCCACGTAACACAAAGGACAGACACATGCTTATTATCTGGGAGCAGCTAGAAAGAACATTATCAACACCGCTAGAACTGCTCCTTCCAAGCAACGTAGTTAAGTCCTAAACAGCTTGGAGCATTCGCAAACCCGATAATCACCTTCCTCAAGTCACCCTACCTTCTAAAGGGGCCTTCGGAGTTGCAGCCCTCAGAGAGAGAGAGAGAGAGTTGCAGGGGGAGGGGACCACCTTTTCCAGAGTGGCTTACCTGGCATCAGAACATAGGACCCACCTGCTACTTCTGCAAATCCTGGCAAAGCACAAAAACTGCACTCGCTCAGTGGATAGAGCGACACCCTGAAACTGGCAACCCTAAGCTCCTGCCTCAAAAGTCAGTGCAAGTGCTCATTTTCAAGGAACTATTTAACTTTTAAATGCTAGGTACATATAGTTAGGCAATGAAATTTCATTTCTGTAGTGCAATTTTAAAATCTGTATAACTGAAAATGGATCGACTTAATATTTTCAGTTTAATACATCCCAGGCGATGCCGAAAGTTCAAACAGCGCAGCAAAAAGCATTGTCACCTGCAAAATATACTGGGTGAGGTCCACTGCCTCCTTCTTCTCGTGGAGGAGGAGCGTTTCTTTGCCTTCCACCGTGAGGATATTCACTTCTCCACGACGCTCCTCTCTCAAGCCCAGGGGGCGTTTTCGAACACATACACAGATTCTGTCTGTCTCCGTCCATGGCATTTCTTTTTCAGAATCAGCAGGTCTACAAAACACAGGAAGTTTGGCATATGGTTACAAAGTCAATGCACATCACACAAATTAAAGCAGGGTGGACAGAAAGGAGATCTCCTGATGTTTTGGACTTCAGATCACAGCATTCCTGAATGTTGGCTGTGCAGGAAGGAGCTTCTAGAAGTTGAAATCCAAGACATCTGAACTTCTACTTTCTGCCCACCCTTTAATTAAAATGGGCCAGCATATGCAGAGTGTATTGCTAAAACAATACTTGAGATCACTGGTTGCAGAATGTTATCTTTGTTTGGTAAACTTGGCCCTTTCCTGCATCTTGCATGGAAGAGAAAATTCCACAACTAACTTACTCTGAATATCAAGGGGTAGAAAGGCGAGGTTATTACCTGATACAAGAATGGGGCACTCCATAGTTGTAACCTGAAACATGAGCTATTCTCTGTACAATGGGGGCTTCCGTGTCCCCTAGGAGAGGGCCAATATCATTTGATGAACTGATAGCGGCATTGCCCAGTTTGTATTCTGCCCATGTCGCAGGGGCGTTCGGAGAGTCTTTCCTCAGGATTTTGTACTCAGAGTCATGGCTTAACACTGCAGCTAAATCATCTTTATCTTCATTCACTGAACAGCTCGATAATGTACATGATCCGGATTCATGTTCTCTTCCTCCATCCCTTTCCTCTGAGGGGGAGTCAAACTGGAGTTGTCTCCGAGGCCCAGATCTAGTCAATGGAGGCTGAAGGTAAACAGCACCTGACTGCAAATATGGCTGACTTTTGCCCACTGCTTCCTCTTCTGCCTGCAACATTTTGATTATTCGAACCAGCTGGAAGAGACGCTTACGGTCCTTCATGTTATGTACTCCCAGTTTAGCGTAATCTTTCATGGAGACTTTGGCAAGTTCATCAATCCTCTCAAAGCCAAGGGCAATGAAATGGGGATAGTATTTCTCGAGTTCTGCCTCACAGAGGCATTCGTATAGACATGAGGCCATCTTCTATTGAGCGGCTGCTAAATAAATAAAGACAGACAATTACGCTCTTTCTATATGAAAAAGAGATTTTTTGAAATGGACACAATCCATCAAGCACAGCTGCCAAAGAAATTCCATTTCAGATTATTAATAGGCTGACCAGATTTTTCAACTTTATTACATTTTTATACCACCCCATAGACCATTCTATATTCTGTGCAGTGTACAATTTGTTTGTTTGTTTAAGATAAACTTTTCTATGCTGTCTTTTATCCAGGATTCTCATGACAGTTTACAAAATTAAAACAAGAGAACTGTTACAAGAATTAAAACTCCAAAATGCCAGTACTTGATAAAGGATAAAATAGTTTAAAATACTATCAACACTTTAAAAACTGAGAAAGTAAAAAGGTTTTGGCTAGGAACCAGAACAAAAAAAGCATTGGCACCTCTCTGGGAAGCATGTTCCACAACTGGGGGATTTAAAAAAATTAAAATAATATATACAATAAAAGTTATAGTAAAAGAGAATTGAACCATAAACTTTGTTGCTTTGTGGTAGTGAGATTTTAAATGACCTTGATGTTAAAATTGTATTATGATTTTGGTATGCTGCTTTGAGTTAAGAAAAACAATTGTTTAAATAACAGATTAAATTGATTTATATGTGGGTGACATTGTTCGAATCTGTTTGAATTTTTAAAGCATTAAATAATTAACCTACCAGCTAGCTTGGTAGTTCACTTTCTTTACCACATTCAACTTTATATATTGATTTATCAGGACTTTTTTACCCTGCATTCAGCGTTACTGCTTCCACAACAGCTTTTAACTGGTGAGCGGAGAAAGAAATGTATCCCCCAACTGTCTCACTGACTTAATAAAACGTGTGTAGCCGGGCTCTTCCGGCCACCCTGCCAAGATTAACAAGCTGCTGTCTTCAAAATGATGGCTACAGAGCACCAGCCACTGAGAAGGCTGGAATCCTGCAGTCCCCAAGCACCAATTAAACTTATAAACCTATGACGATAGCACAGTATCTACTTAACACATTTTGTCACAATAAAGATGGCTTTCTATTCACCAACCGGGTCCTAACAGTTATTAGTTTCTTAATTCATCTCCTTCATCCAGGTACCTAAAAAAGACATCTCTACTGAGATACTGAGCAAATAAATGTTAACTGTAGTTAAACAAGCAAACAAGAGTAAATATACACACAAGTTCACAGTACACAGTAAAACAACAAAGGAAGTATTCTATTGGAACACACAAGCACTTACTTGTCTCTGCTGCCTTCTCACACTTGTGAAATCTATACAGCTAATGAAACAAGCTGCACAAAATTACCCTGCCCACTACAGAATGCAACATGCCTAAATTTAGATGTCACAAATGCTTCCCATGGCTAATGATCAAAGGCCACGAAATGGATATGGATGGATTCCAAAGGTCCTGACACAAAGACAAAGGGGGTTTCACATGTATTAATGGATAGAAGAGTTTCTGGTTCAGTATCATGCACCTTAATTTAAAATCAAACTCATTTCCTTAAAACCACATGTATGTAAGGTGAGTGACTGTGTTTTCAAATTTAGATATCCTTTACATTGTGTAGTTTCTAAAACTTTCTAAAGCATTTATTGCAAGACACTGACCTGGTTTGCCCAAGACGAAAACCCACCATAGCTTAGCTTACCCATGAGGGCCAGCACCTTACTTTAGGGCACTATTGTCCACGAAGCCTATGAGCACCCGCCTTGCCATAGCATGTGAACCCGGGTAGCAGATGGCTGGCAATCCAAGAACTGATGGCTTGTTTTAGGGTTATCTGAGGGTTGTCTCACTCTCATGCCATTTATTCATCATGAAATAAGGATTAGTTTTTAATGATGCAGCATGGGGCTGTATATTCACACAATGTTTAATTTTTTTGGGCAAATGAATCCCATTAGTCCATTCACAATATCATGCTTGGGCAATTTCTTTGTCTAGAAGATAGTATCACAGATGCTTAGTTTTACAGCTCTGAAAACTTTGAATTTATGTCTGCAGAGATCACATGCCTCTTCTTCACGACAAAAATATTATAAAATAAACAGAGTTGAACAAAAGATCTTAATCCCATTGTTCCTTTGCAAATCTATGCACACAGAAACAACACTTCACTTAAGTGCTAAGTTTCAAAAAATCAAATGAGCACAAGATTGTTGGGAGTGGAATAGATCTGCGCAAGAAGCGAAGTGTGAGCAGGGAGGGGCAAGCAGGAAAAATGAAAGTGAGCAGAGTCCTGCACAGTTCTGTGGCTCATTTTGCATATAAACTGAGGTATATCATATTATTCTTTCCCTGGAGGAAAAAACCTATAATGGCAGCAAGCCATAAAACAGACCCAGTTTGGGAATATTTTAATGACATTCCTTTACCTCTGGGTAAGGCAAGCATGCATGCCATTTATGTAGAAAATCATGATTTAAATATAGTCTCACTGACTAGTAATTTAACCTGCGATTTAAATCAAATCCCGCCTGGTGTAGAGTCACCCGATGAACTTCATGGCAGAATGTCCAACTGAACCTGAATCTTGTGATTGTAGCCCAGACAGTCCATCCATCGTCTTGCTGTTGTCCTCTCCCCACAAGTCCCCTGTTTTCTGGAGATTCTCACACAGACACAAGCTATTTTTTCAAAAGCAAACAGCCTTTATTCCCAACTATACAGAAATACTAAAAGCAGGCTTTCTCCAGAAACAGCGACTTTCTTGTCTTTGGCACCACCTGCTGGTGTATGTATCTCAACATAATAATATTGATTAGACACATGATATTTGATTATGGATCCATGAGGAAAGGCTATCCACAGATGGACAACAAATGATCCAAGGTACAAAGCTGATCTCCAAGAAAGCAGCATGACAGTTGCTTCACGCCGCTTGCTGACAAGCATTAACAGCTCCTGGAAGCTAGTTCTGTTGCAGGCTGGCTCGCCAGTGCCCCAGGAAACCTGTTCATAAGAATAAATGGCATGGGGTGGAGATCTGGGCTAGGGTGTAGAAAGGAATTTGTCATCCAGATTTAAATTTCCGCTCAAACAGCAGCAGCTGTTGCTTCCTATTTCTATTTCTTTCTTTTCTTGCAAGGCAGAACTGTCACGGGACCCACAGCAGAGTATCTATGCCTTGACCAACCACAGTGAAATAGTTGCATTGCAGTGTTCAAAAAGGAACTATATTTTGCATCTTCGGTGACACCCACTGTTTACTGGTTTAAGTCTTAAGGTTTTGCCACAATTAATTATGTTTTCTTAAAATACTGATGTTCCATTTTCTATTTTTAAAAACAGTAAAAAGAAGAAGAAAACCAATCAAATGTTTTAATACAGGAGCAGAGCAGCTAAGTAACTTGTTCTACAGTTGCAGTTCTGCAGGTCAAAGGCCTACAGAAAAGGAAGAAAACCATCGGAGAAGGGAAGAGAGGCCCTTCCCCAGGCAAGCTGTTCCAAAGCCTGTGAACGGTCACAGAGAGACTTGATGGTAGGACATCAAGAGGTGTGCGGGTGGGGGCAAGAGACGGGGAGAGACACTCTCCAGTTGTAAGCAGGCAGGCTCACATGAGAGGGCTGGGTATCCTGGCCCTATATATTTATTTAGGGTTTTCACAATAACATCTTCCTTCCTTCCTTACCTGCCACCCAAATCCACTGTACAACAGATTTTGCAGGGGGCTATAGAAGGAAGGTAGGAACAGAAAGTCCCATTCTGCTTGCTTGCATAATGTCAGAAATGTTTGCTTGCATTTAGCCATCATCATCATCTTTATAGTTTTCCACACCATCACCAAAGACAATCCCAGGCAGCATTCATAAAATTTTGAAACAACATAATGAACAGTAACATTAGACAGGCCTATAAAAACCTTAAAAAGTGCATACAACAAAAATCAATCTAAAATCAATTTAAACTGAATTTAGAATTTCAGCATTTCAAATTCTCCTCAAGAGCCAGTGTGGTGTAGTGGTTAAGAGCGTGGGACTGGGACTCAGACGACCTGGGTTCGAGTCCCCGCTCAGCCATGGAGCCAGCTGGGTGACTTTGGGCCAGTCACAGACTCTCAGCCCAACCTACCTCACAGGGTTGTTGTGGGGATAAGATGGAGGAGGAGAATGATGTAAGCTGCCTTGAGCCCTTTGTAGGAAAAGGGCAGGCTATAAATAAATTTAAAAAAAGATGCCTGAACATACAGGAGCATTTCAACATTTCAAAAAATAATTGAGACACAGCACTCATCCTGTCTTCTTGGAAAGCCATTCCAAAGTCAAGGTGCCACCACTGAGAAGGCGCCTCTCCTTTGCACATCCATGCTGTACTTCTCCAGGTGATGGTACTTTTGGCCCCATCCAAGGGCTGTTGGATATTAAGGCCCATATGAATGAACAGTATTAATGAACATCACCCTGCAGCCATTTGCCTGACCCTCTCTTAGCATATGAAACCAGTTACTCAGTGAGTTTTTATTCACCAGGAAATAGCTATTCTTCTCATGTACTTTTTTATCCAACCGATTATGGTTTGGTTGTTTTTCTGTTTCTTCGTTTTGCCTAAATAGTTTGGTAAAACATGGAAGTGGGTGGGAACCATTCATCTACTAATAAGGTTTTTAAATGGTAACACATTCTGGGTAGCCTGACACCAGAACTACTCAATCGACACTCAAATTTGCCCTTACTAACTTTAACTACTTCATGAGCCTTACCAATTTTCTGATCACCCTTTCACATTATTTTTAGCCCCATGACCTCATCGGAAAAGCCTCAGCACCACAACTGATATAGGACAACTGCTTGAAACCACAGCTGTTGCGGAGCCTGGAAGCTTCTCATTTTCATGGTGTGTGAATAAAATAAGTCCAAGTTGAACTGGGTGACTGATTATTTAAAAATCATTTCTTTCCTGCAAGCACAGCTTCTGAAAGTCCAAGGATGCTTTCCTCATTCTGTGCCTCTATAAAGGGAAATTTTTCATTACCCACTTGGGACATCATTGCTGCTTCATTCCCTGGATATCAGTTGCTGTGTTAGTGGTTTCTGTTACACAGCAACCAGTTTCTTCCTTTCAAGTTACAGAAATGATGGGGTGGGGTGGGGTGGGGTGGGGTGGGGTGGGGGGAAAGCTGCCTACATTTCACCAAGAACTACTTCTTCTGGCTCAGGAGGAGCCATTCCAAAGTCCTAAGAGGGTCACTGCACTCTGCTACTAGCAGTTCAAGGCAGCACTACTTACTCAGAATACATGGCAAGAGGTTCTATTGGATCAGCAAAAAACCCTCAGGGGGTAAGTCTGAGAGAGAACACTCAGGGTTGAGGTACGATTAGAATCCCAGGAGGGCTTAAGAAAAAGCACAGTGCCACTTGCAGGTGTCAGTGCGGCTCTTTCCCACTATCTGGCAAACACCAAACGGGAGGGATGTGTGAAAGCTTCGCCACTGCAGTCCTTTTGACACGCTGACAGGAAATCTAAAACCTTGGAGCAACTCTGCTTGGGAGGATCCACTTCAAGCACATTGCTTGAAGGAGTCACACAATGATTTCCCGCACCTCCCAAGTAAACTTAGGCAGGAAGCAGGCTTGCCACCGGAATCCAAAGAGGGATTCGATACATGACAGCAGTGAAGAAGCAGGACAGAGTATTCATACACGGCTCTGCGCCTTTTCATTTAAGGAGCACGTTGAAGGAAAGCACTAGTTTGAAGAACCACAACTGGAGAGGGATCACTGTCTTCCACTGGCATGGCTGTACTGCAGCCTGCAAATACACACCGAAGCATGGTCACATAGTCACACTCTGGTCCCCTACCCGCTCCCGAACCCTTCCCTCTTCCATCAGCTGCCTGAGGACTGTGTCTGTGGCAGTAATGTGTCTCAGACCAGAAGCAGGGAAAGGTGTGTAGACTGACAAGTTTTTACCTCAGCTGCTCACCTGTGGACAAGTGGCAATTCGCATGGCTCTGCTAACCTGCCTTTCCCCAAGCTACTAACAGATTACTCACATCAAGCCAACATCATGCCCAAAGCACAAGCGAAACGGAAGCAAAGAGGAGTTGTGACAAAAAAGGGCTTCCAGCACAAGGGATAAATTTAGTTAAGCATGCCAGTATGGTCAGCTGTGCCACACAAAAAATTCACCACCACAAGAGTTAGTGTACACTTACTTACAGCATCCCTTTAAAATATCTGCGAGATCCCGCCCTAAAGGCCATGGTATTTTAGTAATTCCTGGGCATGTACAGGCACACAGAACTATGTGCTGAATGATGCAAGACAGAATCCATTCTGTCTTTAACCGATAGTTGTGATGCACAACATAGTGCATGGAAATACAATACAGAAGAGATTGTGAGGAAAGAGTTTAGAATCTCATATTTCAAACAGGAATTTTAAAGTCCAGCTGAAATTGGAACACTGCCCCAACCTTGAGGATTTTCCATTTGTACAAAAATTGCATGGTTAAGAGGAACCTAGTTTTACTGTAGGAACATCTCACACAAAATAAGGAAGCATCCTGGAACACACAAATATCCTCACCAACCTGATTTCTAGGTGTGCAGGTACTGCTCAGCAACTGATGCTTACCCAGCGTTTTGTGTGCTAAGCCTGTGAACAAACAGCACAGAAGAAGAGATTCTGCAGGCGAGACAAAACTGCAGAGTTAAACTGGGAATGAAAAGCTGTATTTATTTCTTACTTGTCTAAACAACTGTGATTAACCCATGCTCTGTTGTTGGATTAACTGCTTGATTGTTCAGTGCTTAATCAGCCCGGATTCAGACAATGTGCTCAGCAACCTGTGCCAGTCACTTTTGAGTTGCTGAGCCAAAGCAGAAGAGGCAAGCATGCTGCCCACTTTCCCTGCGCATCGTTACATGCTAAGTGACTGAAGGCAGGGCCTTCTCAGTGGTGGAACAACTTTGGAAGTTTCTTTCCAGAGAAAACATCACCTTAAGGACTAACAAATTTACAATGGCATCAACTTTCATCTTATTAGTCTTTGATGTGCCATAGGATTGTTATTTTTGCTACAACAGAGAAATGTAGCTTACCACTCTGAAAACTCTCCCCAGGGAAAGTCACCTAGCAACAAGTTGGATATCTTTTTTGCATCCGATGAAAGCCTTTTCCTGCATTAAAGGGTCTTTTTTGACCTGCTGTTATTAATTCTGTCTTCAGTTGTGTTGTTAACATTTGTACAAACTCTGAGAATCCTTCCTGAATAAACGAGTGATTGATGAATTAAAACAAACAACAGTATTTTGTTGAAAATTAACAAAAACACCAGAGGTGTGAGTCTTATATATGGAATAAGCATTAACTGGCTGGCCTATCTTATCATCTATGCTAGTTAATGAAACTTTTGGGAGGTGTTGTCTGGAATTCATAATTTTGGGGCTGAGTGGCACAGGTATGCTGATGACACCCAACCCTGTTCCTTCTTTCCATCTAAATCCAGGAAGGTGTCCTGGTGCCTGATGTCACTAAAGGAAAGGATAAGGGGAAGTGAATTGAAGCTTAATTCAGAAAAGACAGAGGCATTCCTTGTTGAAAACCAGATCAGGGAATAGGGATGCCACCTGTGCTAAGAGGGATTATCCTCCCCCTTAAGATTTAGGCTCGCAATGGAGTTCTACTCCTGCACTTAGCCTTGAATCTGAATGCCCAGGTTTCAGCAGTAGGAAGGATTAGCATAGCCGATGATGGTGTTCCTACAGAATCTCACTACATTCACATCCTGTTTACAGTATTGTAAGTGCTGGACATGACTCTGCCACCTTTGAAAAGCTTCTGATGCTTCAGAAGCATCAGCTGGCCCAGAATGAGAGGGAATTTCAGATGACATTCCAAGCCTTGGCACTCCCTACCAAAGGAGGCCAGGTTCACTTGCTCTCCACTCTCCTTCTCCTGCCAAGTGAGGTCTGCTTTATCCAAGAAAGGGATGTGGATCTATCAGGTTAGATGTTGCTTTTATTCTGTAATAATATGCTTGCATCATTTTTACGTATGGTGTTAGTGTTTAACCAATTTTAATTGTCCTGTAAATGTCCTTGAGTGCCAAGTTTTGATAGAAAGGCAGGGTATAGATCTGCAGATTAAAGAAATGAGTGAAAATAGCAGTGTGGATGTTCTGAAACACCTATTTTTCTGGCACACGTGGCCAGGCAAGTAGTTGCCCCCAGTTCTCAATGCAAGAAAAACGGTTAATGCTGATGCTGCATATATCTGGCCTACCTCAAGGTTTTCAGGGTAAGACTTGATGTGGTTGCTTCCTCCGCACCTCGAACACTTCGTTGTTCGCCTGATGCTTCCAGCAGGTTCGGGCTCAGTTCCTCTCTTACAACATCCACTGGTTGCCAACTGCGTTTAAATGGTGATCCGGCTGCAGTTTTAATAGAAACAGCATCAAAACAAACTGAAAGTTTATTTTAGAATGGATGCAGATATAGCGCAAGCTGACGCTGCCTTATATTTCATGACTTCTGAGTAAACTTGTAATAAATAAGAAATACTACCAAGTCTCGGGGGCGATGCTTCGGCTACCAGGCTCCGTCACCATGGCAACAGGACGAAGATCAGTCCCGGGGGGGGTCGCCCCTTCCTCCCCTGCTCTCTTACCGCCGATCCCCCGCCCCGACCCGTCCCCTCGGCTTCAGGTGCGCCAGATCGGAAGGTTCAAGTACCGCTTTCTTAGAGCGCGCTGGGCACGGTCCAGCGCGGCCCTCACAACGCCGGCTAGGCCGCGTCTCTATGGCAACACCGTCAGGCGTGCGTTCAAACACTCGCGCCCACCCGGCGCGCCTCCTTGCATCACCACAGCTGCCCAATAGGACGCCGAGCTGAAGGGGCGGGGCTTATGTGGCCAATTGGGAAGGCAAAGCGAAGGCGGGAAGGAGGCGTCCGAAAGGCGGCCGTACGCCTCCCTTCGCTCCTCTCTAATGGTGAAACACCTGCCCATCAGAACGCGTAGTCCAATCATATTTCAATCAATTTCAATCAATTGCCTCGGCGGTCGGCCCTGTAGCTCCGCGACAAAACGTCCCCCATCCGCTGCCCAGTAGCTGGCTCCGATTGGACCTAGTCGATGACGCTATGATTGGCAGGCATTCAGGCCAATCGAGGCCCGAGCCCCGCGCAGGAAGGGTGCCGCGGGGCTTTGGGCGGCCTTGCTTAGGGGGAGGCGGCGGGGTTCTTTCTTTACTCGCGAGGAAGCCCATTGACGCCCGCTGAACTGACTGCCCAAGTAGGTGCTGGGAGGCGATGCCTTGCAGGCCGCCTTAGGGAGGTTGCGTCGCGTTCAGGTGGCGTTTGTTCAGCCGCAAAGGATTTAACAATGGCTTGTGATTATTAGCAATTTATTTTTATTATGCAGGACTAATAATGCTTGTTAATAAGCACTGCATAGTAATAATGCACTATTAATAATTGCATTAGTTAAATGGTTGATGGCAGTGCTGCGGTCAAAATGCCGCTCCATCCATAGTGCTTAGGTTTGCCGTTTGGCTACAGCGGAGCAGTAGGGGAGGCCCTGGGAGCGGCGCGGATGGACGGAGACCCCCCGGGCAGCTGAAGGGGCGAGGGGCGTTGGAGGGGCCGCTGTTAGAGGGGAAAAACCCGCCTCGCTGTTCCCGGCTGGGGATGATGGGCGTTGCAGTCCAGCGCATCCGGAGGGGTCCCCAGGCTGGGCAAGGCAGGCGTCAGTCGGCGTTTCCCGCCGGAGCAATGCTGGATTTCTGGGCGAGCGGGTTCCAGGCGGCGTGCAAGCACCGGGGGTGCCAGTTCCGCGTGGGGCGCCTGCGTGGCCCCGGGGGGCTGCACAACGTGCGACGCGGAGGGGCGGCCGAGGTAGTTTTCTGCAGCAAGTGTCAGCATCCCGGAATCTCAGTTTGAGAAGAGGGAATAAAACGCGGGTTCGTGGGAAAGACCAGGCGTCCAGACCATCTGAGGCTTTATTGTTTCACCCCCAGGTTCCCGCAGTACTCAGGATAATGCGTGCATTACCGGGCAGGCAGAGGGGGACTCTGCTGCAAAGCTTCAACACCATTGCAGGGCATTTATGGGTACACAGGTACAGGGCAACTGATGACAGAATGCAGAGATTACAGTAAGATGCTGAGGTCACCACATACAGAACAGATAAAGGAATGTCAGTCAATCACACAGTAACAATGAGATTACAATATTTCTAATTGCCTGTATTGACACTTTAGTTGAGTAACTTGAACCCATCTCCAGGTCTGCTCAGACATGCAAATTCAAGCCACTAGAAACTATTCATGATAAGCTCAAACCCCTATCTGGACTCTAAACCTTCTGCATGATCAGGGCACATGAAGCCCTCTGGGCTATCAAAAGATTATTGTAAACTGAATTCCGACAATGACTATTTACAGTGTATATTTGGGCTATAATGGCCTGTAGCCCACAGCTAAAGGTGAGAGAAAGGAGCGGGGGAATGCCATTTTAAACAGTGACAGCTTGGTTTTGAGAAGGAAGGCAGGATTTGATCCCACAGTGCAAAGGCAGGCAGGAGTAATGCTTTTCAGACAGGATTTATCCAAATTTTCCCAACACAAGCAAGGTGCGGTGCCACCCTGTTCAGACAGTTACCGGCCCAGCAGTGGCAGCTGAAGGCCAAGCTTTGGCATAGCCTAAGATTTCATGAGAGCCCCTCACTGGATGCATGACGTGCGGCATTAGTGGACAAGGCCTGTCCGTGCATCAGCAGGCTCTGCGGGAAAAGATCTGAAAGCAGCGGCATTGCATGGCTGCGAGATGCAGGAATCACGCAGGTGCACGGACGTCTTTAAAATCAGCAACCCGTTGGAGCAGCGGCCTGTGTCTTGCGTCTTGCCCTGAACAAGGCTTGGACCCAGTGCCTTACGGGCCCCTTCCAACTCTACTGCGCTGGGATGCTATTTTTATTCTAGCCACATGGCCTAAGGGTGGCTGTATGAGTGACCCAGATGTGAAAAGCTGTGTTTTAGTTATTCTTCAAATAACAGGAACACCTCCGGCATCTCCCTGTGTAGGAGGAGATGATGTACACCAGCCGTTTTCAACCACCAGTCATGGACCAGTGCTGGTCTGTGGGAGATTTCCTGCTGGTCCACAGGGAGCTGCATCCTGCTCCCTACAGACCGGCGTGGGGGCTGGCTGTGCTCCACCACCTCTTCCTTGGCTGGCATCGCATTCATGGGGAGGGGCGCCGGGGCCACCGGGGGAGCCAGGGAGGGGAGAGACGGCTGGCTGGGAGCCATGCTGTGCCGATCTCAGTATTTTGTTCTTTTGTTGGCATTTTTTGTTGCTCGGTTTCTGATTGTTTTGAAGATGTTTTATTTTTGGTATTGTGTTAGAAACTAATACACAGAACAATGTACTGTGTGTGTGGTGCTTTTTGTTTCTGCCTCAGCTGTCCCAGAGGTGGTTTTCCTGTTTTCACCGGTCCCCAACTGTGGAAAGGTGGAGAACCACTGATGTATTTGTTGTTGTTAGTTGCGAAGTTGCGTCAAACCCATCGCGACCCCATGGACAGCATTCCTCCAGGCCTTCCTGTCCTCCACCGTCCCCGGAGTCCACCCAAGCCCACACCCACCGCCCCAGTGACCCCTTCCATCCACCTCATCCTCTGCCGTCCCCGTCTCCTTTTGCTGTCAATCGTTCCCAGCATGAGGCTCTTCTCCAGGGAGTCCTTCCTCTTCTCATTAGGTGGCCAAAGTACCTGAGTTTCATCTTCAGGATCTGGCCTTCTAAGGAGCAGTCAGGGTTGATCTCCTCTAGGACTGACCAGTTTGATCGCCCTGCAGTCCAAGGGACTCGTCGGAGTCTCCTCCAGCACCACAATTCAAAGGCCTCAATTCTTCGGCGCTCAGCCTTCCTTATGGTCCAGCTTTCCCAGCCATCCACTGCAACTGGGGAAACCATCGCCTTGACTATGCGCACTTTCACCAGTCCCCAACTGTGGAAAGGTGGAAAACCACTGATTAGTTAACTTAGCACCTAAATCATGTTAGTTTGCAGCTGTGGGGCCACAGTTTTTAGGGTTGTTTTGTGTTTTGGATTCCCACATCCAAAGTTAGAGATGGCGCTCAGACCTGGGAATTGGAGCTCTGCCCCTTGCAGCCAAGGAGATCTGGGTGAAAAGGCGCATTTCAGAGGGAAGGGAGACGGAAGAAGCCTATCCAAAATGCCATCACTAGAGGGCTGAAAAGAGCCATCCAGTGGAAATGCAGAGCAGGAAAAGCAGTGCTGGGCTGGAGGAGCTTTGGGCGCCTCTCCATAGAATTGCACCATAAATAGAATGTTTTGCAAAGGCTGCTTGATGGTGGTGTTGCTGCTTTCTGTTTTGCTTCTCGCTGATCGATTGCCTGGCTAAACTGCCTTCCCCCACTGCTTCCAGCCTCAGAAAGACAAATACAAACTGTCCAGAACATCTGCTGGTAACAGTCCACAGGTCTGATCTCTTGACTTCCCAGAGCTAAGGATGGGTTTTTATAATGTGGTATATTTGAGATGGTATTTTAGTGGGTTGTTGTGAACTGCCCAGAGAGCTTTGGCTTTTAGGCAGTATAGAAGTTAAATTATATTGTTAATTATATTGTTTTAATATTTATTTTTTAATTTTCCGATTTATATCCTGCCTTTTTTCTCAAAGGGCTCAAGGCAGCTTACATCATTCTCCTCCTCCATCTTTTCCCCACAACAACAACCCTGCGAGGTAGGTTGGGCTGAGAGTCTGTGACTGGCCCAAAGCCACCCAGTTGGCTCCATGGCTGAGCAGGGACTAGAACCCGGATCGTCTGAGTCCCAGTCCCATGCTCTTAACCACTACACCACACTGGCTCTCCGTATCTGATGTTTTATTATCGTATTATTGTAATATTTTAAATTTTTGTAAGCTGTCCTGAGCCATTTGTCGGAATGTTTGTTTAAATTAAAAAAATTAAATTAAATACCTAAATATATAAATGGGTAGTCAGTTACTGGACAGAGCAGTTTCCCTGCATGACACGCGAAGGAAATGCATTCTATGCCTGTAGAGAAAAAATATTCAAAATTTTAGGACTTAGCAAATTGCAGAGTTCAATTAGGTAGCAGCATTCTCCAGCCTTGTATCTTTCAGACATGTTTGGACTGCAACACCCAGAATTCCCAGTCAGTGGCCCTGCTGGATGGGAACTCAGGGAGTTGAAGGCCACCAGGTTGCGGAAGGCTGAGTTGGAGTACCTAAATGCAGGAACATAAAAGATCAGCCAGGAGGGAAGCAGGAATGATCCTGATACGGACATATGATGGCAGCTTCAGAACCAAATGCTGGATCAGACTCCTTCCTGTAATCGCTTGCCAGTTGCAGCCCCCCAGTGCAAAATCCAGATTTAACAGTATATGTGACCTTCGTACCCCTGGCTGTATGGCTACATTCCAGTCCCTTCCATTCACTTCATTTGGTAGTTGTTGATCTTGTGTCTCCATTGGTTACCAGAGACTTCAACAAAGGCCACCCCATTCCATTTTGTACAACTTGTCCAGAAATCTAAAACGGCAGCTTGTGAAGTGGACATTTGCTCATATGCGGTACCTTGGTTACATCATTTGTGCTTTCTAGGTGCTGGGATGTTGCTGTTCTCTACATCTTTTGCTCCTTACACTTTACAAGAACAGTCCTGAAATGTGGGAACATGTTTTGGCTTTCAGAAGTCATTTGTCTGTGGTCATCTTGGAGAGCGGTGCCAGGAGAGGAAGGCAAACGTTTTTACAAAATTATCACTTGTTAAATTTCTTAACTGACCTATTCCCTATCACTGTCACCTGTACCTGCACTGAATTCTGATGAGCCAAGTGGTCATGGAGCAGGGCTATAAAATAAAATAAAAGAAAAGAAAAGAAAAAAGAAAAAAGGGCCAGCCTCTGTAACGTGTCTGCAATATGGCCTCCTTGTATATTGGACCATGAGCTGTGTAAATGTGCATGTACAGTTACAGTGTGAGTGTTACACATTTGTATTTTCTTTGCTTATGGAGGCTAGACAATAAAAAGTTTTGTTACAGATGCTTAGCTCATTCCACTAACATGAATGATGGTTGTGCTTGTGTAACTAGTGCCATGAGAACGTCCCTTGAAAGACTCGTGGGAAACTCGGCTGCTGCTGGGCAGGCGCTGGAGGTCATTTCTCCAGTGCGACACCATTGATGTTAATGGCGATATGGTGTTGGTTACTATCCTGGGACACTTTAAAAAAGACTCAAGGCTATTCACTATAAAAATAAAATGCAGAATGCTTAAAACAGCGAAAAGGATGATATATTAAAATTTGCTTGTCGCTAGGCACGAAGTCGCATCCGACCCATTGCAACCCCATGGACGACATTCCAATATTAAATTGGAATATTAAAATAAACCACACCAGAAAACAACTTAAACATCACTGACTCTCAAGCAATCGGACCAAAGCACTAAACAGCACATCATGTGCCCAAGAACGAGCAAAAGTCTGGTGCGGGCAAGATGAGGATATTGATGGCAGGCAGAGCGTGCTGGAAAGAGCACTCTGTAAGGGGCCACCACTACGAAGACCATCCCCCTTGTCACCCTCTTCTCCCCCCCCCCCCCGGTAAAGAAAGAAATGCCTTCCTCTTCCTCCAGCAACCGAAGCCTCTAACTCAGCGGATCCTGTCTAGTTTTGGCAGAGAGGCACAGATCAGCCAGGCACTTTCATGCTGCCCGCTCGACCCCTACTCTGTGTGGCGGAGATTTTACTTCTGCTGAAAAACTGGGGTGGCTTTGCAAGCGCCTCTGCTCTGCACTGCCTCAGGCACAGACTTGCTCCCAAAAAGATTCCACATCCTGAAAGCTATAAATGTAGATTTAATATGCTTGTATTTAGTTTAAACCAAGCAATTTTTTAAAAAAAAGAAATATGAGTGTTTTAACAAAACTTTTGTGTCTGGTGTTACTGAGAGAAAAACAGGTAAATGGTGTTTTTCTGTTCGTGTACCTATATGTCCTGATGAAAAGACTTCATATACTTGCTTAGTATTTTTTTTAAATCCACTTTTAGGATCAAACGTTCACTTGGTGGCTTTAGATGGGTGTTTTGTTAATTTCCCAGAGAGCTTTGGCTGTTGGGTGGTATAGAAATTAAATATATAATCAATAACTAATAAAAATGCAGAACCAATGCAGTCCTGTACATGTCTCCTCCAAAGAATTGCATTCAGTGGGACTTACTCTTGAGTAAATGTATACGAGGTTGCCTCTCCTGTCTGATAAATCTCTTTTTTTTCCTGCTTATCAGGCGACACCCTGTCTCAGCTCATTTACACTTTTCTCTCCATGCATGGTCCAAATGTGCAGGATTCAGTCCAGTTCGTGCTTTGCTCTTTTATATATTGCAACAACTTTTGGGCAGGTCAGAGTTGGGCCTGTGGCAGGTCAGCCTTCCCAGCGCGGTTGTGTTGGACCGCAGGCCAAGCCTTCCAGTCCAATCTAACTGGCGGGCGCCAGGCTGGGGAAGGCTGGCTTAGGTGGACTGAAAGATGGGTGAAAACAGGTACATACCTGCCCTGGGGCCCTGGATCACGGCACCCCGGCAGAAAATAGCCCTGTTGGCTGTGGAATGAATGGTTTCATCGGAACCCAGCGTGATCAGCCTGTGATATTTTGGTATGGGAAGCAAAAAGAAAAACGCCCAAATTCCATTCCCCTCTCCCGTTCTGGAAGGGATCCAGTAAAAGCTTCACTGAACAGTAGTGCTCCCGTCCACGTCCCGTTAATTCAGTGCTGTTTGCATGGGGAAATGTCTTGGCCGGTGGTGCCCTGCAGGTCCAGAACGCCAGAAGCTGCCTCCCACCGAGCCAGACTCTTGCTCCGGCTCAGTCTTGCTGGCACCGACGGGCAGCAGCGTCTTTCCGGGGTTTCAGGCCGAGCAGGTGCTCTCCTGACAAGCCCTGCCCTCTGCCCCCACCAGCTGTCTCTGTCCTCCACCCCGCCACCCATCATCCACCCAGCCTTACTTTGGAGCAGCCTTTCCCCACCTCAGCGGCTAACACCACTCTCCCGTTTGTTCCGGGTAGGACAGCCATGACCTTAAGAGCATGTGGCCTGATTATCTTCAGGAGGCTGCAGGAGGCACGGTCTACTTCTGCTCTTGGGAACAATGTTGAGTACCTCCTTCTGCAGACATCCTATGGGACTCATCACTGGACCCCTCCAAAAGGTGCCTACTTGGGGGAATTGCTGTTGCGTTCACTTTATGCACGGAACTTCTCAGTCAGGTCCCCGGATCAAAGGATTCTAGTCCATTTGCAACAGGTTCTTCAACGGACCGATTTCTTAGAGGCTGGACTCCTCAGAGGCCTTCCATGGCAGTCCCTCTGGTACTCATACCCTAGATGCGAAATAAATCACATTCTCTACCCCGGCCCATTTCCAGTCCCCCCCATGTCCTTTTTTCTGTTATCTCCCCTACGCTGGGTTACATCAACCTTCCCGAATTATATCAACCTCCCTGGTACCCTCCAGGCGTGTTGGATTACAGCCCCCATCATCCTCAGTGTGTGGTTGCTTTATCACAGATGAGCTTCTTCGGCTCGTCTTTCCGTCCAGCAGGCTGGGTTTCCAGCTTCCCTTCTGCTGCCTGAGCTTTTCTTAGGCCTCATGTGGTCCGCTGTGTTTATATTCCTGTCGGAATATATTAGTGAGAAAGCCACGTCTGACTTTTCTCAGGGAAAGCTAAAGCTGACATGAGACTCAGTTATATTTATACCTGGCTTACAGTGGGATCTTTGCAGGGGAAATCATGATGAGGCTGGTGGAGGGTTGTAGAGAATAAACTTTGCCTGCCTGGATGTACATACTTCTCGTGCCCAGATCACTTTGCATTTTTCCCAGTGGTAATTATTTACAGAACTTAAACATTACTGGTAGATGTTTAAACTGTAGGGGCCGCAGCCCTATGCATGTTTAGACAGAAGAAAGTTCTTCAGTGCCCAGCCAGCCAAGCTTTCCTTTCCCAACTGGTGCCCTCCAGGTGTTTTGAACTAGAGCGCCCAGCATTCACTGCTTCCTCCCTTGTGCCGTGATGACCTCTGAGATACATCAAGGACACACACGCATAAAGATGCCACTGGCGTGTCTGGCTCAGGCAGTCACAGTGTCCTGCATGGCTGCGCTTTGCTTTGTGAGCTTTTGAGCATCTCCCTTTTCGTGTTATTCCTGTACGGTGACTACGTGGCTCACCCTTTAGGACTGGGCGCTCTAGAGCTCTGAAGGTACTGAAGACACCATAAAATGCAGCCAGTTCTGGCACGAAGGGTGGCAAACATGAGCTAACCGCAAGAGAGTTTTTCTTTCCATTTGTCTGCCAACAGGCAAGACACTCGCTAGTGAGATGCAGAAAGTGCAAAGGTGCGGCACTTTTATTTTTAAATTTCCTCAAGCCTGCATTTTCTCTTCTTTCGTCAGGTCATGTTGATCCTGGGGAAGACGATCTGCAAACAGCTCTCCGGGAGACACAGGAGGAAGCTGGGCTGGAGCCCTCTCAGTTCACAATCATCGATGGGTTTAAGAAGGAACTGAATTACGTTGTGAAAGGCAAGCCCAAAACAGTCATCTACTGGCTGGCTGAAATGAAGGACCACAGCACGGAGATCAAGCTCTCGCCGGAGCACCAGGCCTTTCGCTGGCTGACCCTCCCCGAGGCCTGCAGGCTTTCGGGGTACGAGGATATGCAGGCTGCCCTGAAGGAGGCGCATCAGTTTCTCGGCTGCAAAGCCTGAACGCCCTGTGCGCACGCGGGAATCCTGGCTGCTTGTTCCGTAAAAATAAAAGGGAGTATGGGACAAGGATGGACTGTAATGCTACTGAGCTACTTGATTTTTGTAAACGCCTTACTTGGCTCCTGAAAGGTGGTGTAAAAGTACAATAAAGAAATGTGTACGACTTGCACGCGTCTTCCTGTGTATTCTTCGGGACATAAAGCATAATCTGAATTGAAACTGGCCACAAGTGGATTTTTGTTTACTGCCAATCGCTTCGCTGTGGGCTTAGGCAGAGATATTGGCAAATCAGGGTCCGGATTTGGTTCATAATTAGGCAGCCCTTTGATGTACAGGTTTATCACTCATCTTCTGCCACAGTTGTGAAACCAAAGCTCTTAGTTCAGAGGGGAGATGCACTATTTCTGTTGAGAACTTCCCAGAGGCAGCTGGTTGATGGTTGTTGGAAACGGATTGCTGGTCTCTAAAACTTTCGGACTGGTCAAGCAAAGCAGTTCCTGTGCATTTGCACAGGGTATTCACGACACCAGAAAGGTACTGTGGTGTTTACACCTTGTGGGCTTCCAGGGTTTTGGAACATGTGAAAGCTGCCATGTGGCTGAGCTCTCCCAGCGACACGCAGAGGAGCAGGTGCACCACGAAGCTCCAGTCCGACCGGGGATGATGTAGCATAGAGCGCCCCCATGGTATTCCCGGATGCAGCCACGTCCTGGCATGGGTTGTGGAGCTGGGTGCGCAGCACAATGCAGTCACCCCACAGTCAATGAACGTCTCACTGCTGCAGAGGTGGTGTTACCCCACTTGTGTTAAGCACAGTGAACCCCTGCCTCCATTCCTTGGGGGAGCCCCCGCAGCTTTGCAGCCTGTGCAGCTTCTAAGTATATGGCACCATGGCAGGCCCTGACCATCGCACAGGAAAGGTGCTGGCCAGGGGTGCTGCAAGCCTCTATCCCGCTGGCCTTACGGCGGCACATTTTGGAAACACTGCAAACGTAGCCCTTCCTGACCATAAGGTCTCTGTGCTCAGCGCTGCCATGACGCAGGCGGCAATTTCCTTAGGATGCCAAAGTTGGCTCTGTAGTTGGAGGTCTCCTTTAAAGGCATTCCGGACACTTAAGTGTCACAGAAGTGGAAGGCCTTGTGGTCCTTAGTGGTCTGAGCCGTACCAACCATATGAGAAACAATGGTCCAGGCAATCGCAGTCAGAAGCATTTGAGCCGTGTTTGGGAGATCTGCAATCAGGGGGAGCCAATTAGTGACGTACGGAACAGTAAACAAAGTGGTGCAGTTTAATACACATTAAGAGTAACTGAGAACGCATAAAATAATGCTATTGTTTCCATTACCAAATTGTATTTAGGATTTATCGCCTCGGTGTTAGTTAATATCCCATTACTTTCATAAGTGACACCCAGTCAGTGAAAACGTGGCAGTGGCAGGCAGTGCTTTCCACCCGCTTCTACCACGCTTCGTGACCCAGCCGTGTCCCCATCTGGACACGGACAACCCAGCTTCAGTTGTCTTAACACTGGTAGCCCCAAAGCTAGATTACTGCAATGCGCTCCACGTGGGGGTATGTTTAGAGACTGTTCAGAAGCTGCAGCCTGAGGAAAACCCACCGACCAGAGTAATGACGGTCCAAAAACACCCATTCTGGTTCACTTGCACTGGCTGGCAATCTGCTTCTGAGCCTGATCCAAGGTGCTGGTTTTGACCTGTAGAACCTTACGCAGTTCGGGAATGCAGTATCCGATGGAGCACCTTTTCTAACGTGAGTCCACCCATAAAGCTCTCCTCCAGTTGCCTCCCCTGAAAGAGGCTTGCCAGGCAGAAAGAAGGCAGAAGACTTTCTGGTGGCGGCCCCCCCCCCCGCCGCCCCGTTTTTGGATTACCGTCATCATCTTTGCAGCATCACCTTAAGACCTTCTCTCAGGCATTTGGCAGCATATGATGAGGTTTCAATGATGTTTGATTGTTAATAGTTCAACGTCATCCTTGAAATATGTCTCTCCCTCTGTGTCGTATGCTTTTATGGTTATACAGATATGGTTTTTATAATGTATTCTTAGGGGTTTAATTCTTGTCAGCTGCTCAGAGAGCTTCAACTAGAAATGAAGTGAAACGAAAACAAGATCGGTAAAGCAAGTCCCTAGTCTGGAAGGACTCGCCTCTGAGGCCTCGCGGCCATCTTTCCCGGGCCCCAGTCAAGCCCGCTATTTTAACTAATGCGTGAAAGCCTTCCAGGCAAGGATTTATGCTCCTGCGCTGCCCACACCGTATGAGCCACCGCCAAGCTGTCCCTGGAGAGCGGAAGGGTTAGTTGCCATCGTGGTGATGGCTTCTCTGAGCCCCCGCGAAGGGGCTGTTTGGCAGGTCGGGTGGCTAGCTGCATTCCCGTGGACCTCCACCGCTTTTTAGCTCAGGGTTGCAGATAAGCCGCTTGCTCTGAGTGAGTAAAAAGTAACTCAGTGTATTTTTTGTATTTTTGTATTTAGTGGTAATTTATTATGTTCTATTGTATTTCAAAGTATTTTATTGTGTTGTAAGCCGCCCCGAGGCTTCGGCAAGGGGCGGCATAGAAATGTTATCATCATCATCATCATCATCATGCACTAAAAGTGGCTTCCTTGTTCTCCTCTTTTGGGAAGAATGATATCAAAGTGCCCCACCCCCTGTGGGACTGTGGGGGGAGCCGTTTGAGCATCCCCCCTGTGGGCATCAAGGCCCCTAAAGCAGCTGCTGGTCCCTTCTATGGCCAAGCCATACTTTTTTTTCTGACCATGCCAGGAGGAGGACTGTACCATCTCAGAGGGAGGTGGGGGACACTGCCTGACATTGACCATGCGAAGGTTGCAGACCTGCCAGATAGCTTACATATGAGCCTTCTGCCAGATACGGGGCTGACCTCGGGCAAATGCACCCCCCACTGCGCTGGTACAATACCCACATGAGGACTATACCATTTCAAAATGGCAAGCATGACCTAGACTTTAATTACTATTGTCAGGGCAATCGCAACATCTGGATACCCACTGGTACGTATATTGTAGACATCATTGTTCTGTGTATGCCGGTGCAATTGTGCAATATCAAAGTGGCGATTTAGAAATGCCTCCAGGGTTTCTTAGCCAGACTGTTAGTCTAACGACAAAGGCTTTGCAGAAGTGCTGTATTCTCAAGAGCACAGCAAAAAGGGCCTTGCAGAAAAGCGCCAAAAGCAGCAGACTCGGCCTGGATAATATTTAGCATATCTGAGAGTTCGTGTTGTCAAAGAGCGGAGTGATGGTTCCATCCTTCCATTCAATTAAGATCTCGCCGTGTTTTGGCAAAGGAGAGGATGACGCTGGGATTATTTGTGTCTTGGCGCAGTCGTCTGCTCTCCCAGGTACACGCCGTTGCTGCTTGTAGCTCACCTGGCGGCTTTTCAAAGCAGACAGTATCTTCTTCTTCCTATAGTTGGAAGAAACAGAAGTTGAAATTTGTAGAAGTTCAGGGTGGGATTTTCCCCGTGCCAGCAAGACGAGCTGAGAAAGTGAATGTTTGTAAAGAGAATCTTACATGCTCAGAGGAACCCATCTGAAGTGGGCACAGGGTTGAGCTCACTGGGGTGCAAACCGAAGCCTAGTTCAACAGGAAAATGTCCTGCAACTCCCATCATCCCCAGCTGGCATGGGCACTCAGGGTGCACTTAAAACTCAGTGCTCCTGCACTTCATGTGCCGCAATCCTCGTTTAAATTTGTGACAGCCCTGTGAGGCAGGGCAGGATTGTGGCCCCCAGATTGCGGATGGAGGCGGAGAGAGAGGGAGGCTGGCCGAAAGCAACTCACTCGTAGCGGGCGCAGGATCAGAGGCGGGGTCTCCCGCTGGCGCACAAAGAGCCCCCCATGATTGCCCCCACCCATGGCTTACTTGCTGTAGTGGATGTTGACCATGAGTATGATCACCCCCAAAATGAAGGCCAGCGGGCAGAGGACGAGCATGACTGTTTTCCACTTGGTGCCTGCAAGAGAGTTCGGTCAAGCACTGACGGCTGGAATCGGGGAAGCGAAGGGCCACCAGGACGGTGGCCGGTTTGCAAGGTAAGCCACATGAGGAGAGGCTGGGGGAGCCGGTCTGTTCAGCCTGGAGAAGAGGAGACTCGGAGGGGATCAGGAGGTCAGGGGGTGCCATGCAGAGGTGGGTCCTGACCTGTTCTCCCCTGCAGTGGAGGGCAGGGTGCGTCCCCACGGAGCCAAGCTCAGGGAACCAAGATTCAGGGTGGGTGCCAGGAAGTACTGCCTGACGGTTAGGACCCCGAGGGCATGGAATGGGCTTCCATGGGAGGTGGCTAAAGCCCCATCGGTGAGGGTGTTCAAGGACAGGCTGGACATGCACATAGTAGGCATGTGATGAGTGGAGCTGGCTGGAGCTGGGGGTCAGACTAGATGGCCCAGGAGACCCTTCTGACTCACTCTGTTTCTCTGTTTCATTATTTGCTTCCCATCGGCCATCCCTTTTCCATGCGGTTACGGTGGGCTGTTTTGCACAGTGAAAAGAGTCGGGCAGGCAAGAGGCCTTGTCCAGCCAGTGCCTCTTAGGCAACAGCTTCTTCCAAGCCCGGCTTCTTTTGCATATCCCGGTCTTCTGATCGCTTGAATGGCTGATCTAAAGGAAGGGTAGGATCCCGGGTCAATCCCGGCCCCTACACTTAGAAGGATCATGGAACTCCGTGGAGTTGGGAAAGACGCTTCCCTGCCATTGACCTCACGCAAGCACTGGTTTTCGGCAGTGCAGCGGCTGTTCACCCAAGCCCTGGACACGGCTAGGTCCTTCCCACTTCCTGGCAGTTCCTTCCATATTATGAAAATAGTGAGTCTAGCAGCTATTCGGATCTGACTAAGCTGCACATTGTCAAAACCAGTAGGGGAGAGGCAGTGTGGTGCAGTGGTTAGAGCATGGGACTGGGACTCAGACAACCTGGGTTCGAGTCCCCACTCGGCCATGGAGCCAGCTGGGTGACTCTGAGCCAGTCACAGGCTCTCAGCCCAACCTACCTCTCAGGGTTGTTGTTGTGGGGAGAAGATGGAGGAGGAGAATGATGTAAGCTGCCTTGAGCCCTTTGGGGAAAAAGGCAGGATATAAATCGAATGACTGACTGACTGACTGACTGAATGAATGAAGACCTCCTG